GATGTTAACTACCGCGCCTGGTATGCAGGAGGCCGTGGGTTCGATCCCGACCCTGACGCCTGCTGCTGTATATTTCGAGTTTGTGTGTCTCTCTCATCATCATCACGGTGGCTAGGAGATGTTAACTACCGCGCCTGGTATGCAGGAGGCCGTGGGTTCGATCCCGACCCTGACGCCTGCTGTATATTTCGAGTTTGCGTGTCTCTCTCATCATCATCACGGTGGCTAGGAGATGTTAACTACCTCGCCTGGTATGCAGGAGGCCATTGGTTTGATCCCGACCCTGACGCCTCTATATTTTGAGTTTGCATCTTCTCCCCGTGGTCACGTGGATTTTCCTCCGGCTCCTCCAGTTATTCCCAGCACATTTAGAATCAACATCACGTGTTTATAGAGTATTTGGCTGCGATACATTTCCACGTGATAAGCCGCTTTGTTGAGCTATCATCTGTGGCCAGGTGCCTTTTTAAAAAAGAGCTCCTATAGCTCGGTGGGCCTTAACTGATATAATAAGAAAAATAGTTTCTAGTTTAGTTTTAGAATCTCATGGGTGACGCTATAGATCAGCAGGTGGGACCCTTCCTCCCCATACACTGCAGCCTGCCACCTTGTGCTGCCCTGCAGGCTGCCACCTTGTGCTGCCCTGCAGGCTGTCACCTCGTGCTGCCTTGCAGGCTGCCACCTTGTGCTGCCCTGCAGGCTGCCACCTTGTGCTGCCCTGCAGGCTGTCACCTCGTGCTGCCTTGCAGGCTGCCACCTTGTGCTGCCTTGCAGGCTGCCACCTTGTGCTGCCCTGCAGGCTGCCACCTTGTGCTGCCCTGCAGGCTGTCACCTCGTGCTGCCTTGCAGGCTGCCACCTTGTGCTGCCCTGCAGGCTGCCACCTCGTGCTGCCACCTCGTGCTGCCCTGCAGGCTGCCACCTCGTGCTGCCCTGCAGGCTGCCACCTTGTGTGCTGCCCTGCAGGCTGCCACCTTGTGCTGCCACCTTGTGCTGCCCTGCAGGCTGCCACCTTGTGCTGCCCTGCAGGCTGCCACCTTGTGCTGCCCTGCAGGCTGCTTGAGCGGCAGCCTTTCGAACTTATCGAACTTATTAGCCACATCAGCGGCTCCGACCTATTAATAAACTCCGCGTTCAAATCCAATAAAATTTGTTTTATACATTTGTGGCGCCCATTGGAAAACATTACACACTGGATATCTCAGAATATTGAAGTCAGCCCCCCCCCCCCAAAGTGAAAATCCTGGCTCCGCCCCTGAAATCTATTGTGTGGTGTGTGTTCTCCACAGCGATGCCGGTGACGATTCTCTGCTTAACACGCAGTTGGCTTTCCCGAGCAATATTCATAATAAAGTTGTTCTTGGTGTTAGATCATCGAAATGTAAATGTGTCGTTCACCCACCATCACCCGTCACAGTCAATTAGTAACCTTTTTGTTACGTAAACAAGAAACGTTTAATTGCAGGCATTTTCACGTAATGACATGTTGATTAACTGTGACTAATCCAACCGGTAATATGGACTGCATATTCTCACAGTAACATATTAAATTGTACACCATACGATTGCATTAACCCCCATCTGAGCTTCGTACCTGATAGGCTCACACTGATGACATCACCCAAACTCTGTTAAATACCGGGAAAAGTTCTTCGCAATTCTGGCAAAATTGCCTGATGAAGCTGGTGGTTGTTGTTGTGATTACCAGCGAAAGGTCGAAATCGGAATTGTAAGTGTTGGGGGTTTACTCTCCAACACACCGGTGTGCTGAAGTAGTAACGAATTGGCACGTTTAGTTTACGTGACAAACCCCTTACTAATAGGCTGTGTCGGATGGTGGTGGTGGGTTAACGACACCTTGCATATTAACGCGATGTAACTCAAACAAAACCTTGAATATGAATGATTCTCCCGAGTTATTTGAGAGCTAAGTGTCCAACTAGGACCCTATAAATATTGGGCAGTTCACCAGAATTGGTTTTAAGCGAGCTGGAATGTTGATGAGACACTGAAAGTGGAAACCGGGCAAGAGTTGAGATTGTTTTTGAACCGTGGGGGGCTCTGTGTGGCAGCTGTGTGTGGTAGCTGTGGGGGGCTGTGTGTGGTAGCTGTGGGTGGCTGTGTGTGAGTGTGTGGTAGCTGTGGGGGCTCAGTGTGTGGTGGCTCATGTGTGGTAGCTGTGGGGGGCTGTTTGTGTGTGTGGTAGCTGTGGGGGCTCAGTGTGTGGTGGCTCAGTGTGTGGTGGCTGTGTGGTGGCTGTGTGTGTGACAGCTGTGGGGGGCTGTGTGTGGTAGCTGTGGGGGGCTGTGTGTTGTAGCTGTGGGTGGCTGTGTGTGTGTGTGTGTGGTAGCTGTGGGTGGCTGTGTGTGTGTGGTAGCTGTGGGTGGCTGTGTGTGTGTGTGGTAGCTGTGGGGGCTCAGTGTGTGGTGGCTGTGTGTGTGGTAGCTGTGGGGGGCTGTATGTGGTAGCTGTGGGGGGCTCTGTGTGTGTGGTAGCCCTGGGTGGGACTGCTGTTGCGGGGGGGGGGGGCCGGCTCTGTTCCGCGTGGCTGCCGCTCACCGTGGCGTGCGGCTCTCACGGTGGCGGCTACTCCGGAGGCCGTTCGTGATTGGCCGCCGTTATGAAGAAAGCAAAAAATTTTTTCGCGCAAAATGATCGCCGGGGGCGACGCTCGCCGATTATGAAGCCACGGCCGCGTGGGTTTAATGTTCCCTTGGCACCTCGAGGACGCACGGCAGGCACGGTCCAGCGCTCGCGCACGCACGCGGTTATGAATATTAATGTGACCTAATAATGCCCTCTGCTGACCCCCTTCAGCTTCGCCAGGGCACACGACTGTCGACGTTACTCGCATTGTGCTGCAGCGTTGTGCAATGCGGGGAGAGTTTAGCGTCGAACTAGGACGGAGAGAGGAATGGGGGGGGGGCGTCTTGGCCTGCAAACATCCGGGAGTTCACCAGCTTCGGTTTACGGAAAGGTGTTTCCCCTGCTGATGAGAGGCCGAATGTCGACACCTTCAACGTGACTTTACTGAAAGAGCTAAGAATATGAATTACTGCAGTCACGAAAGCTTTAAAACAACAAAATAACACAGTTTTATTTTAGCAGGTAAGGCCGACTGAGCTATTTAGCTTTTGTTGTTGTTCAGAAGCCGCAAACGTGGAGGGAATAAATCCGGAGAACCCGGAGAAAAATCTACGCGGCCACGGGGAGACAGAGAGACACGCAAACTCCAAATATGCATCAGGCGGCAGGGTCGGGATCGAACCCACGACCTCCCTGTAGCCCCTGTAAACATCTGGCGTGCAGATTGAGTCCTCAACTCCGTCGTGGTCGTGGTGGTCGTAGTAGCGATGGCAGAGTGATACGGAGGCGACTGCCCACACCGGCAGAGCGAGAGGGTTCCAGACGGAGTGTCTGGTTCGCGCACGCCATGCCTCGCTCTTTGACCCCTGCCCTCCACCCCCCTTACCCCCCCCCAGGACCCCCTAGAGGGGGCCCTGGCCCTGGAGCGACTGGGCAATGGCGAGAGTCCTGGAGATGCCCCGGAGGAGGCCGAGGGGACCAAGGGGGCCCCCAAGGAGCAGCAGGGGATCGTCAAGTTTGGCTGGATCAAGGGGGTGCTGGTACATACACACAACGACAAAGATCCCCCGTGTAGCCTTAACAGACTGTTGGGGCAAGTGCTGTTTGCGAGCACCTACGAAGGCCGGAAAGGCACACGAGGGGGTGGGTGGCCAACACCACGCCCGGCCGCCTTTGTCTCCCCAGTGACGATGTTTACACACCGCACCAGGGTATTCATTTTGAGGCCGAGTCGACCTATGGGAGGCCCAGGACCGGTTTAGATAAAAGTCAGCGGGTGTTGGCCGTGAGCGGGAATCTAACTTGGGTTGCTGGGTTCGTAGCTCTGCGCGCTAACCACTACACTACCGGTCCCCCGACACACGTGTGCACGGTAAAGGGGAGCGGTGGCGCAGTGGTTAGCGCACTGGCCTGTTCACCCAACAACCCAAATTGGATTCCCACTCGCAGGCCAGCATCGATGCGGAATATCTTAACCGGTCCTGGGCCTCTCCTAGGTCGACTGGGCCTTAAATGAATATCTGGCACGGTGTGTAAACATCGGCTACCGGGGCGACAAAGGTGGTCGGGCGTGGTACTGGCCACACCTACCCCTAACAGGAGCTACTCGCTAGCAGCACTTGCCCCCGACAGCATGCGTGGGCTACACGGGCGACCTTTGTCTTTGTCTGGCTCCCTCCCCCAGGTGCGCTGTATGCTCAACATCTGGGGGGTGATGCTGTTCATCCGCCTCTCGTGGATCGTGGGGCACGCAGGAATCGGTGAGACGCACATCCTGCCATCACCATCCTCCCATCACCTCCTCTCCCATCACCTCCTTTGATCTGCATCATACCGACGCGATGACGGTTGTTGAGTGTTGACGGCGTGGGGGCTTTCAACCTGAATTTTGACATCTGTTACATCTGTTTCACCCCTACTGCGTACCCACACTTTACCACACCACACTACTGGCTCGCTTCAACATGCCACATGATTACTTTAATGATTGGCCTTCTCATCCATCTACCTTGTCACCGAGTTGCCGTGTCACCCACCTGCCATGTCACCCACCTGCCATGTCACCCACCTGCCGTGTCGCCCACCTGCCCCGTCACCCTCCTGCCCCGTCACCCACCTGCCATGTCACCCACCTGCCATGTCACCCACCTGCCCTGTCACCCACCTGCCCCACCACCCACCTGCCGTGTCACCCACCTGCTGTGTCACCCTCCTGCCCCGTCACCCTCAAGGGCCGCCTGTGTGGATCCCCCCTGGTAGCCACTAACGGCCACTGCCATGACTCTGCTTTGCCTCCAGCACCTCCCGGTTCTGTGCTGGTGACTACCGTGGTGGTGGTGGTGTTGTGGTGTGATGCAGGTGGTGTTGTGGTGAGCTGCAGGTGGTGTTGATTCTGATGAAACATCGTGGTGATGTTGCGGGTGATGGTGGTGATGATGGTCGAGTTAATGGTGGCAGGCGATGTTAGCGGCGATGCCGGTGATCGCGATGGCAGTGATCGCCATGGGGGATGCAGGTTTCACCACCACCACCACCACTGCGAGCGAGGTCGTGACCCCCCCAGCTCTCCGTTCACCTTGAGATGTGGAAAGATTCATAACGGATTCATTCCTGCGCTCGCACCCCAGGCGCTGGCAGTATTCACACGCACGCTCAGACGCGCACTCCACACGCACCCGGGCACGCACACGAACAGCGCCCCCGGGCAGCACCGCGGCGAGCAGCGGTGGAACCGAGAGACCGGGTTGAGGCGCCCGGCCGAGATGGGCGGGGGCTGCCCCCCCCCCCCACCCCCCCCAGCCCACCCCCCCGCGGCCCACCGTGTCACGTTGGGGTCCCTGGTTAATGAATGAGAAATTGGCCGTTAGTGGCCGGGCGCGTTCACTCGAGTGCCTCGTTAGGGGTTAATTGAAAGCTAAGTCTCGCCGCTTGGGTGAGCGGTCGGCCGTGAAATGACTGCCCCCCTCCCACCCCCACCTCCGGCTGGGGCGGGGGGGGGGGTGGTGCCCGGTGCCAGCTTCGCCACTCGTTCACACAATTCACTCCCCTCCCCATCACCACCATCATGACCCCGTCACCGTTACCAGTCAAATACAAAGACCCTTTCACCCCCCCACCCGCACTACCGTATAGCCTGTAACAGACTGTTGGGGCAAGTGCTGTTTAGCGAGTAGCAGCACCTATTAAGGCGGGCACGGCACACGAGCGGGTGGGTGGCCAGCACCACGCCCGACCGCCTTTGTCTCCGTAACCCCGATTGCTTTACACGCCGGACTAGGGAACTAATTTAAGGCTGAGCTTACCTAGGGGGAGGACGAGGCACGGGTTCAGATATTCGCTGTCACCATTGTTGGCTGTGAGCGGGAATCAAACTCGGGTGGCCGGGTGTCGTGAGCGTCGTGCAGCGCTAACCGCATTGCCTCCGCTCCCCACACCACCACAACCACCACCGCAACAAACCACCACCGTCGGTGGCATAGCGAGCGTGGGGCAGGCAGGGGGGTGCCTTTCCCCCGCCCCCCCCGGTGGCCACGGCTACAATTTAGGGCCCCAATGACGACGCCCGTGAGATCTGTTTTCAACAACAGTGTAAAAAGAACAGCAACATTTGTTTAAAAAGCGGTTCGTATTTTATTTTTCGTGAAATGCTTTCACACGGAACTCAATTATGTTACAAAGAGTTCACTGCGGAGCTGCAGTGGCTGCATTTTGGCGAAGATGGAGAGCTCCTACGGCGTGAATTGAAGCAATTGGCGGGACCCCGGGGTCCCATCACCGCCCCGGGGTGGGAAAACCCGCGTAGCGACACGAGTCTTGCTGCCTTACCGACAACAACAAAACTAGTGGTCAATCGATTGGCCTCGTCGAGAGCTACTCGGGGACACTAAGTTTCGTAAAAAGTTGAAAAATTACACAAACACGTTAAATTCACTGCCTGGGGAGGGGCGGGCTCGCCTTGGCAAAGAAGCTGAGGATCGACGGCTGACCGGGGGGCGTCCGCCGCGCGAGATCGCGGCGGACGCCCCCCGGGTCTCGCGTTTGGCCGGTGGGGTGGCGCCCGTCGTGTCGATCGCCGCCTGCTGCTGACGCTTGTTGGTGCGAGTCTGGGCGGGCGGCGCGTTGCTGTCGGGATCACGTAGTGGGGCGGACTGAAAAATAATAATTATTGACCTGATTTTTGCGGGACCCCGGGGTCCCGCCAAATTATTCAAATGTCCGAGACCGTGAGCGTAACGACGATGTGATTTGGGCAAGAGGAGCCGAGATGTAGAACAGCCTCAAGGTGCGACCGTGCGAGACAAATCAAATATTGGGACACCACCTGACCAATTGCCGCACGCCCTGAGCTGAAAATTACGTAACTACTACACCACTGATAATGTGGTCACTACACCAGTGATAATGTAGTTACTACACCACTGATAAGGTAGTTACTACACCACTGATAGTGTAGTTACTACACCACTGATAATGTAGTTACTACACCACTGATAAGGTAGTTACTACACCACTGATAGTGTAGTTACTACACCACTGATAGTGTAGTTACTACACCACTGATAATGTAGTTACTACACCACTAATAATGTAGTTACTACACCACTGATAATGTAGTTACTACACCACTGATAATGTAGTCACTACACCACTGATAATGTAGTTACTACACCACTGATAATGTAGTTACTACACCACTGATAATATACTTACTACACCACTGATAAGGTAGTTACTACACCACTGATAGTGTAGTTACTACACCACTGATAATGTAGTTACTACACCACTGATAAGGTAGTTACTACACCACTGATAGTGTAGTTACTACACCACTGATAGTGTAGTTACTACACCACTGATAATGTAGTTACTACACCACTAATAATGTAGTTACTACACCACTGATAATGTAGTTACTACACCACTGATAATGTAGTCACTACACCACTGATAATGTAGTCACTACACCATTGATAATGTAGTCACTACACCACTGATAATGTAGTTACTACACCACTGATAATGTAGTTACTACACCACTGATAATGTAGTTACTACACCACTGATAATGTAGTTACTACACCACTGATAATGTAGTTACTACACCATTGATAATGTAGTCACTACACCACTGATAATGTAGTTACTACACCACTGATAATGTAGTTACTACGCCACTGATAATGTAGTTACTACGTCACTGATAATGTAGTTACTACACCACTGATAATGTAGTTACTACACCACTGATAATGTAGTTACTACACCACTGATAATGTAGTTACTACGCTACTGATAATGTAGTTACTACGCTACTGATAATGTATTTACTACACCACTGATAATGTAGTTACTACACCACTGATAATATAGTCACACCACTGATAATGTAGTTACTACACCACTGATAATGTAGTCACTACACCACTGATAATGTAGTCACTACGTCACTGATAATGTAGTTACTACACCACTGATAATGTAGTTACTACACCACTGATAGTATAGTTACTACACAACTGATAATGTAGTTACTACACCACTGATAATGTAGTTACTACACCAGTGATAATGTAGCTACTACACCACTGATAGTGTAGTTACTACACAACTGATAATGTAGTCACTACACCACTGATAATGTAGTTACTACGCCACTGATAATGTAGTTACTACGCCACTGATAGTGTAGTCACTACGCCACTGATAGTGTAGTTACTACACCACTGATAATGTAGTTACTACACCACTGATAGTATAGTTACTACGCAACTGATAATGTAGTTACTACACCACTGATAATGTAGTTACTACACCAGTGATAATGTAGCTACTACACCACTGATAGTGTAGTTACTACACAACTGATAATGTAGTCACTACACCACTGATAATGTAGTTACTACGCCACTGATAATGTAGTTACTACGCCACTGATAATGTAGTTACTACACCAGTGATAATGTAGTTACTACACCACTGATAGTGTAGTTACTACACCACTGATAATGTAGTTACTACGCCACTGATAATGTAGTTACTACGCCACTGATATTGTAGTTACTACGCCACTGATAATGTAGTTACTACGCCACTGATAATGTAGTTACTACGCCACTGATAATGTAGTTACTACGCCACTGATAATGTAGTTACTACACCACTGATAATGTAGTTACTACACCACTGATAATGTAGTTACTACACCACTGATAATGTAGTTACTACACCACTGATAATGTAGTTACTACACCACTGATAATGTAGTTACTACGCCACTGATATTGTAGTTACTACGCCACTGATAATGTAGTTACTACACCACTGATAATGTAGTTACTACACCACTGATAATGTAGTTACTACACCACTGATAATGTAGTTACTACACCACTGATAATGTAGTTACTACACCACTGATAATGTAGTTACTACACCACTGATAATGTAGTTACTACACCACTGATAATGTAGTTACTACGCCACTGATAATGTAGTTACTACGCCACTGATAATGTAGTTACTACGCCACTGATAATGTAGTTACTACACCACTGATAATGTAGTTACTACGTCACTGATAATGTAGTTACTACGCCACTGATAATGTAGTTACTACGCCACTGATAATGTAGTTACTACGCCACTGATAATGTAGTTACTACGCCACTGATAATGTAGTTACTACGCCACTGATAGTGTAGTCACTACACCACTGATAGTGTAGTCACTACACCACTGATAATGTAGTTACTACACCACTGATAGTGTAGTTACTACACCACTGATAATGTAGTTACTACACCACTGATAATATAGTCACTACACCACTGATAATGTAGTTACTACACCACTGAGAATGTAGTTACAACGCCACTGATAATGTAGTCACTACGTCACTGATAATGTAGTCACTACACCACTGATAGTGTAGTTACTACACCACTGATAATGTAGTTACTGACACTGATAATGTAGTTACTACACCACTGACCACTGCCCTCACTGCTTCCTGATGCTGAACCCCCTCCTCTCTCTCCCCAAGGCCTGTGCGTGCTAATCATCGGCCTGGCGGTGGCCGTGACGACCATTACTGGCCTGTCCACGTCGGCCATCGCCACTAACGGGTTTGTGCGCGGAGGTAACGACGCGGCCACCCCCCCCCCCCCTTGTGAGACGAAGAGAGAGGTCGAGGTTCATTCACAGATTCCGGGATCCGGCAGCGACGGCACCGGGCATCGTGCCAGGCAACGCACGGCGTTACCCACACTACCACCCACACTACCACCCACACTACCACCCACACCACCACCCACACTACCACCCACACCACCACGCACACCACCACCCACACCACCACCCACACTTCCACCCACACCACCACACACACCACCACCCACACCACCACCCACACCACCACCCAGACCACCACCCAGACCACCACCCACACTACCACCCACACTACCACCCACACCACCACCCACACCACCACCCACACCACCACCCACACCACCACCCACACCACCACCCACACTACCACCCACACTACCACCCACACCACCACCCACACCACCACCCACACCACCACCCACACCACCACCCACACATGGAATGACACACAGCACCCACTGCACGCACGGCACCGCCACGCACGGCACCGGGACGTCGGTACATTGCAGGTGGCGCAGAGGGCTGACGTGGAGATTGGACATCGAAGAGAGGCGCACGGGTGGAGTGTGGGGGCCGTGGCGGGAGGGGGCGCGGGGCCCAACCCCCCACGGTGGAACAGGAGAACTGTGGGGGGGGGGGGGGGGGGGACTCTTGGTGCATTGCAGGAACTTGGACGCAAGCGGCCTCGTCCAGCAGTGGAACGCGGTGCGGTGCGTGACGCGGTGCGGTGCGGTGCGTGGCGCGGTGCGGTGCGGTGCGGTGCGCGTGACCCCGGGGTGCTCACTGCGCGCGTCTCCGCCCCCCCGGTCGGTGGGGGGCCCCAGGTCTCACCGTGGCCATCATCTTGCTGGCCACCATGGTCACCACCATCTCTGGCCTCTCCACCTCCGCCATTTCCACCAACGGGTTTGTGCGCGGAGGTAATGGCGCCGGTCGGCGGCGCGTGGGGCGATGCCGATCCCACCACCTCCACCACCTCCTCCTCCTCCTCACGCTCGCCCCCGAGTTTCTCACCGCAGTGATCGGCCGTGATTGGCCACGCGGGTTCGTGTGGTGGCGGGATTCGCGCGGTTGTGCAACTAACCTCACCGCAGATCATCGCGCCGTGCCCCCCCCCCCCCCGTGCACCCCTCCTCCCCCCCCTCTCCTCGTTAACTCCTCCAGCACACGGAGCCCCCCACACCCCCACCGTGCCCCCCAGAGCGGTGGGCCGGCCACTGCTTTAACCTTTAACCTTTCCCCCACCCCCCCCCCCCGTCCAACCCACGCGGCAGCACCGGCGGAGAGGGAGACAATGGCAGCCACGGTGGAGGTGAGGCCGGGAGGTGCCGTGGTCGCCGTGGGTGTTGTGGTAGTTCACGTGGTTGTGTTGTGGTTGTGTTGTGGTTGACGTGTCTCAGTTGACGTGGTTGTGTTGTGGTTGACTGCGTGGTTGTGGTTGACGTGCTTGTGGCGGTCGCTGTAGTTTCGTTTGACGTGACGTGGTTGATGATGGCGCGGTGGTTGACGTGGTTGTGGCGCGGCTGCGGTTGTGGCCGGTGTGTGGTTGCGGTTGTTCCCCGGGGGTCGCGTGGAGGTCAGGTCTGACCATCGCGCTCGTTATGCTCAGCGTGGTCGTCACGACGACGACCGGCCTCTCCCTCTCCGCCATCTGCACCAACGGCCGCGTTCGAGGAGGTGAGCGGGCGAGGAGGTGCCGGGTGGGGGGGAGGTGGAGTGAGGAGTGTGAGGAGGTGAGCTGTTGAGGTGTGTGTGTGGTGTATTGAGGGGGTGAGCGGTAGTGCAGCATTCGGGACGCTGCGCTACGAACTCGGCCACCCGGGTTCGATGTCCCGCTCACGGCCACCAACACCGGCGACGATTATCTGAACCGGTCCTAGGCCTCCCCTAGGTCGACTCGGTGTCAAATGAGTGCCTGGTGCGGTGTGTGAACATCGCCGCTCGGGAGACAAAGGCGGTCAGGGGTGGTGTTGGCCATGCCGGCCTTCATAGTTGCTCGCTAACAGCACTTGCCCCAACAGTCCGTTACAGGCTATACGTGTGTGTGTAGGTGTGCATGTGCGCTGTGTGTGTGTAGGTGTGGCATTATCTTTTCATCGGTTGCGTAACGATGTGTGGAAGCTACCTGGTCTGTCGCTCCGCACTAAGCTTCAGGTCTTCTCGGCCACGGTCATTCCCTCCCTTCTCTACGCTTGCGAAACGTGGACCCCCCTACTGGAACATCTTCGCCGGTTAGAAACATTTAGGCTGGCCTGCCTACGATCCATCCTGGGTTTGACCAGGCTGGATTGTGTGAGGAGCTCACAAATCCTTGAAAGATCTGGGCAAGGTCCCATCGGTGAGCTCCTCCAGCAGGCAAGGCTGCGTTGGCTGGGTCATGTAGCCCGCATCCCCAGCCACCGCATGCCGAAACAGCTTTTGTTCGGCCGGATCGAGGGGGCTAAACGGGTGCGGCACGGGCTAGAGAAGAGATGTAGTGATGTGGTACAGGAGGACGTGGAGCTGAGTGGACTTGCCGATGACTGGTACCAGCAGTGTCAAGATCGGCCTCTGTGGAGGAGGCTCGTGAAGGACGCTGCTACTGGGCAGTTGGAGGTAGTCGCCCTCCAACAACAACGGAGGGCGGAGGAGCGATGCTCACAACAACGAGCGGAGCGCCGGGTGGCTGAAGTACAGCGGGTTGGCACAGTAGGGGGCACAGGTGATGCATCAGCCAGTCATCTCAGTCAGTCGACCCGTGGCACCTGGGTCTGCCCCGTGACCTCCTGCCAGCGGGCGTTCGACACTTCACGTGGCCTCAGGGTGCACATAGCCTGGCACAAGCGTCGTGGTGACGTCGCCGCCACTTAGTGGAGAATGGCGGTTGTTGTTGTTGGTGTGTATATACTGTGTGTGTAAGTGTGTGTATGTATGTACTGTATGTGTGTGTATGTATGTACTGTATGTGTGTGTGTGCGTGTGTGTAGTAGTGTAGCGGTTAGCGCGCTGCGCTATGAACCTGGCGACCCGGGTTCGATTCCCGCTCACGGCCAACACCAGTGACGATTTTCTGAACCGGTCCCGGGCCTCCCCTAGGTCGACTCAGCCTCAAATGAGTACCTGGTGCGGTGTGTAAACATTGCCACTAGGGAGACAAAGGCGGTCGGGCGTGGTGCTGGCCACCCACCCCCTCGTGTACCGTTCCGGCCTTCATAGGTGCTCGCTAACAGCACTTGCCCCTACAGTCTGTTAAGGCTATATGGGGGATCTTTATCTTTGTTGTATGTAGGTGTGCGTGTGTGTATGTAGGTGTGCGGTGTGTATGTACTGTGTGTGTAAGTGTGTGTGTATGTACTGTGTGTGTAAGTGTGTGTGTGTGTATGTACTGTGTGTGTAAGTGTGTGTGTGTGTGTATGTACTGTAAGTGTAGCGGTTAGCGCGCTGCGCTATGAACCTGGCGACCCGGGTTCGATTCCCGCTCATGGCCAACACCAGTGACGATTATCTGAACCGGTCCCGGGCCTCCCCTAGGTCGACTCAGCCTCAAATGAGTACCTGGTGCGGTGTGTAAACATTGCCACTAGGGAGACAAAAGCGGTCGGGCGTGGTGCTGGCCACCCACCCCCTCGTGTACCGTTCCGGCCTTCATAGGTGCTCGCTAACAGCACTTGCCCCTACAGTCTGTTAAGGCTATATGGGGGGTCTTTGTCTTTTGTGTATGTATGTATGTACTGTAAGTGTGTGTGTGTATGTATGTACTGTAAGTGTGTGTGTATGTACTGTGTGTGTAAGTGTGTGTGTGTATGTATGTACTGTAAGTGTGTGTGTGTATGTAGGTGTGCGTGTGTGCTGTGCATCTCTCCCGCACTCCTCACCCTCGGCCGGGCTGGGGGAGACGACTCCGCCGTGTCGCCAAAACTAACCACACGCGTGCCCCCCCCCCCCCCAACCTCCTCACCCGCACTCCTCACCCCGACCCCTCGCTCGGACCCATCACCCCCACCCTGATGTCCCACCCAGGGCCCCGCGGCCTCCACTCCAGCGCTCCGGGGGGGGGGGGGGGCGCCCGGCTGGCGAGTCGCGCGGAGTGGAGGCCGCTGGCTTCGTGGGCTTCGTGCGCAGGAGAGGCTCCGGTCTGGGGGGCGAGCGACGCCGGCGCTCGCCCCCCAGACGCGCGGTTACAGCCGCCAGGAGGCACGAACACCGCGTCTTTGGTTCGCCGTCGCTCGCTCGCTCGCAGTGGCGGTGACCGCGACGCTCGCCCTTGGTGCGACGAAATTGATCCAGAAAGAACCTGGTGGTGGCGCGTTGGTCGAGGCCACGATCCGCTCGGGCGACTTGGGGGCAATCGTCGCCGGCAAGTCGTCACTGGGAATGTTTGCGGCAGCACTTGCCACCGCAACCATCTCATTGCCCGCCCAAAAATCTGAACAATTCTGATATAAGCTGCCCCCCCCCCCCGCCCCCAACCCCTTGTGGGCACTCGGGGCGGCAACTTTCAGGCCTCCCCCATCCCCCTAATGAACTAGTGACCACCGGTACCAGGATACATATTGAGGTCCGTAGATCAATCATTGGTGGGGGAGAGAAGTTGCTCCAGTCGCTGGGGGCGACTGCGTTGCCGCCGGTGACGGTCGTCCCGCGGTTTGCCCCGCGGCCGCTGCGGGCGATTCGAGCGGTCGCGACGTCCGCGCCCCAAATCGTCGCTAAATTGAATCGCGCCGCCGCAATCGACGACGAGTTGAATCCCTGAGGGAGGTCTACGAATCGTCACAAGCACTCGTGGGCACCACCCCCCCCCCCCCGCCGGAATCCTCCCCCCCCCCCTCCCCTCACCCCACACTGCGCGTCGCTCCCACCGGGCTGTCGCGGCGAGTACCGCCAGGGTCTGGCGAGGGGGCTGCCGCAGCAGCGAGGTAAGGGACGAGGTGAGTGTGCACCCCCTGGGCGCGACGATCCCCCCCCTCTCTCTCTTCCTACGTTTCCGCCTTGGCCGCGGGCCAAGTGGGCGCGCGGCTCCTCGGCCGCCACGGCCGTAGCGAGGAGAGGCACGAGAGGGACGGGAGGCACGAGAGGCACGAGAGGGACGAGAGCGACGAGAGGCACGAGAGGCACGAGAGGCACGAGAGCGACGAGAGCGACGAGAGCGACGAGAGCGACGAGAGCGACGAGAGGCACGAGAGGCACGAGAGGCACGAGAGGCACGAGAGGGACGAGAGCGACGAGAGCGACGAGAGCGACGAGAGCGACGAGAGCGACGAGAGCGACGAGAGCGACGAGAGCGACGAGAGGCACGAGAGGGACGAGAGGCACGAGAGGCACGAGAGGGACGAGAGGGACGAGAGGGACGAGAGGCACGAGAGGCACGAGAGGCACGAGAGGCACGAGAGGCACGAGAGGCACGAGAGGCACGAGAGGGACGAGAGGGACGAGAGGCACGAGAGGGACGAGAGGGACGAGAGGCACGAGAGGCACGAGAGCGACGAGAGGCACGAGAGCGACGAGAGGCACGAGAGCGACGAGAGCGACGAGAGCGACGAGAGCGACGAGAGCGACGAGAGCGACGAGAGCGACGAGAGCGACGAGGCGGACGCGGTGCCCCAGTGCGGAAGGCCACCGAGCGCGGGCGACGCCAGAGTTGAGATCCCCGCCCTCGCCCGCAGCCAACGTTGGCGAGCGCCCATTAAGTGACGGAGGGAGGGAGGGAGGGCGCGGGCCGCTAGGATGCTCGCGGGGACAATGGGACAGTCGGAACAATGGGCGCCTGGGGTGGGGGGGGGGTTCAGAGGGTCGAGAGCCCCGACCCCCCCCCTCGCCGCAATCACAATGGGCGGACGGAGCCGGGGAGACCTCGCCCGGCGCCTCCACCGCCCCCGCAGGGGCCCCCTCGCCCCGCCCCTCGGCAGGTGGAGAGACGGGCCCTGGGGGGCGGGGGGGGGGGCCCCGTGGGAAGTGTGGGGCCCGTGTGGACCCGAGGCTGGCTCTCAGAGCGCCCCCCGCTGTGCGCAGGTGGTGCCTACTACCTGATCTCGCGCAGCCTGGGCCCCGAGTTTGGGGGCTCCATCGGCCTCATCTTCGCGTTCGCCAACGCCGTGGCCGTCGCCATGTACGTCGTCGGCTTCTCCGAGACCGTGCGCGACTTGCTGGTGGTGAGGATGTGGGGGGGGGCACGGGAGGGGGGGCACGGGGGGGGGGGCACGGGGGGTGTGAAGAGACAGCGGTTCAAGGAGCTACACAAACACACACACACACACCGGTACATGTGGACACAGACACGTGGGTGCCCACGGACACGCACGTGTGTGCACATGAACTATTGGTGTTCGGTGAAAGCATAGTGGTGTGTGATGATGCTAGGTTGGGCGTGGTGACGGTGTTGGTGGTGGTGGTGGTGTTGATGGCGGTGATGGCGGTGCGTGTGGGCGAGCAGGTGAACGACGCGGTGATGGTTGACGACAGTAACGACATCCGCATCATCGGCACCATCACCGTGCTCCTTCTCCTCGGCATCACGGCCGCCGGCATGGAGTGGGAGGCCAAGGTGAGAGCCTCGCATCCACCTCCACCACGTCCACCACCTCCACCACGTCCACGTCCACCACCACTTCCACCACGTCCACCATCTCCACCACGTCCACCTCCACCATTACCACGTCCACCACCACATCCACCATCTCCACCACGTCCACCATGTCCATTACCACATCCACTACCACCACCATCTCCACCACGTCCACCACGTCCACCTCCAACATTACCACGTCCACCACCACCTCCACCACGTCCACCACGTCCACCATCTCCACCACGTCCACCACCACCACATCCACCATTACCACATCCACTACCACCACCACCACCTCCACGACGTCCACCACCACCACGTCCACCATCTCCACCACGTCCACCATCTCCACCACGTCCACCATCTCCACGTCCTCTACCTCCACCATCACCAACTTCGCCTTCACCATCATCGTCTCCACCACCTCAACCATCACCAATCGCATCACCATCACTGCCCCCCCCCCCCCCGAGTGCAGGCCCAGGTGGTGCTCCTCATCATCCTCCTCATCGCCATCGCCAACTTCTTCATCGGCACGGTCATCCCTGTGTCGCGGCAGAAGCAGGCGCAGGGGTTCTTCAACTACAAGGGTACGGGGTCCCTCGGGGACCCTCGGGGTCCCTCTGGGTCCCTCTGGGTCCCTCGGAGTCCCTCGGGGACTCACGGGGGACTCACGGGGGACTCAAAGGATGGGGCTGTGTGTGTCTATCTGCACGTCTGTGCGTGTGTGTGTCTATGTCTGTGTGTGTGTGTCTATGTCTGTGTGTGTGTGTGTGTTTACATGTCTGTGTGTGTGTTTACATGTTTGTGTGTGTGTCTTATGTCTGTGTGTGTGTGTCTGCCTGTGTGTGTGTCTATGTCTGTGTGTGTGTGTCTGCCTGTGTGTGTGTCTGCCTGTGTGTGTGTGTGTCTGCCTGTGTGTGTGTCTATGTCTGTGTGTGTGTCTATGTCTGTGTGTGTGTGTCTATGTCTGTGTGTGTGTGTCTGCCTGTGTGTGTGTCTGCCTGTGTGTGTGTCTATGTCTGTGTGTGTGTGTGTCTGTGTGTGTGTGTGTCTGCCTGTGTGTGTGTGTCTGCCTGTGTGTGTGTGTCTGCCTGTGTGTGTCTATGTGGGGAGCGATAGTGTAGCGGTTAGCGCGCTGCGCTATGAACCTGGCGACCCAGGTTCGATTCCCGCTCACGGCCAACACCAGTGACGATTATCTGAACCGGTCCCAGGCCTCCCCTAGGTCGACTCAGCCTCAAATGAGTACCTGGTGCGGTGTGTAAACATTGCCACTAGGGAGACAAAGGCGGTCGGGCGTGGTGCTGGCCACCCACCCCCTCGTGTACCGTTCCGGCCTTCATAGGTGCTCGCTAACAGCACTTGCCCCTACAGTCTGTTAAGGCTATGTGGGGGATCTTTGTTGTGTGTCTATGTCTGTGTATGTGTGTGTCTGCCTGTGTGTGTGTGTCTATGTCTGTGTATGTGTGTGTCTGCCTGTGTGTGTGTCTATGTCTGTGTATGTGTGTGTCTGCCTATGTGTGTGTCTATGTCTGTGTATGTGTGTCTATGTCTGTGTATGTGTGTCTATGTCTGTGTATGTGTGTCTATGTCTGTGTATGTGTGTCTATGTCTGTGTATGTGTGTGTCTGCCTGTGTGTGTCTATGTCTGTGTATGTGTGTGTCTGCCTGTGTGTGTCTATGTCTGTGTATGTGTGTGTCTGCCTGTGTGTGTCTATGTCTGTGTATGTGTGTGTCTGCCTGTGTGTGTGTCTATGTCTCGCTAACAGCACTTGCCCCTACAGTCTGTTAAGGCTATATGGGGGATCTTTGTCTTTGTCTATGTCTGTGTATGTGTGTGTCTCTATGGGTGTGTGTGTGTGTGTCTATGTCTGTGTATGTGTGTGTATGTGTGTGTCTACGTCTGTGTGTGTGTGTCTCTACGGATCTGTGTGTGTGTGTGTGTATCTATGTCTGTGTGTGTGTGTATATGTGTGTCTCTACAGGTCTGTGTGTGTGTCTCTACGTGTGTGTGTGTCTGTGTGTGTCTATGTGTGTCTCTACGGGTCTGTGTGTATGTGTGTCTCTACGGGTCTGTGTGTGTGTGTGTGTCTCTACGGGTCTGTGTGTGTGTATGTGTGTCTCTACGGGTCTGTGTGTGTGTATGTGTGTCTCTACGGGTCTGTGTGTGTGTATGTGTATCTCTACGGGTCTGTGTGTGTGTATGTGTGTCTCTACGGGTCTGTGTGTGTGTATGTGTGTCTCTACGGGTCTGTGTGTATGTGTGTCTCTACAGGTCTGTGTGTATGTGTGTCTCTACAGGTCTGTGTGTATGTGTGTCTCTACGGGTCTGTGTGTGTGTATGTGTGTCTCTACGGGTCTGTGTGTGTGTGTCTCTACGGGTCTGTGTGTGTGTGTCTCTACGGGTCTGTGTGTGTGTATGTGTGTCTCTACGGGTCTGTGTGTGTGTGTATGTGTGTCTCTACGGGTCTGTGTGTGTGTGTATGTGTGTCTCTACGGGTCTGTGTGTGTATGTGTGTCTCTATGGGTCTGTGTGTGTTATTCTACGTCTGTGTGTGTGTGTCTGTGTGTGTCTATGTGTGTCTCTACGAGTCTGTGTGTGTATGTGTGTCTCTACGGGTCTGTGTGTGTGTATGTGTGTCTCTACGGGTCTGTGTGTGTGTATGTGTGTCTCTACGGGTCTGTGTGTGTGTATGTGTGTCTCTACGGGTCTGTGTGTGTGTATGTGTGTCTCTGCAGGTCTGTGTGTATGTGTGTCTCTACGGGTCTGTGTGTGTATGTGTGTCTCTATGGGTCTGTGTGTGTTATTCTACGTCTGTGTGTGTGTCTGTGTGTGTCTATGTGTGTCTCTACGAGTCTGTGTGTGTATGTGTGTCTCTACGGGTCTGTGTGTGTGTATGCGTGTCTCTACGGGTCTGTGTGTGTGTATGTGTGTCTCTACGGGTCTGTGTGTGTGTATGTGTGTCTCTACGGGTCTGTGTGTGTGTATGTGTGTCTCTACGGGTCTGTGTGTGTGTGTATGTGTGTCTCTACGGGTCTGTGTGTGTGTGTATGTGTGTCTCTACGGGTCTGTGTGTGTATGTGTGTCTCTATAGGTCTGTGTGTGTTATTCTACGTCTGTCTGTGTGTGTCTATGTGTGTCTCTACGAGTCTGTGTGTGTATGTGTGTCTCTACGGGTCTGTGTGTGTGTATGTGTGTCTCTACGGGTCTGTGTGTGTGTATGTGTGTCTCTACGGGTCTGTGTGTGTGTATGTGTGTCTCTACGGGTCTGTGTGTGTGTATGTGTGTCTCTACGGGTCTGTGTGTGTGTGTATGTATGTGTGTCTCTACGGGTCTGTGTGTGTGTGTATGTGTGTCTCTACGGGTCTGTGTGTGTGTGTATGTGTGTCTCTACGGGTCTGTGTGTGTGTGTGTGTGTATGTGTGTCTCTACGGGTCTGTGTGTGTGTGTATGTGTGTCTCTACGGGTCTGTGTGTGTGTGTGTATGTGTGTCTCTACGGGTCTGTGTGTGTGTGTATGTGTGTCTCTACGGGTCTGTGTGTGTGTGTATGTGTGTCTCTACGGGTCTGTGTGTGTGTGTATGTGTGTCTCTACGGGTCTGTGTGTGTGTGTATGTGTGTCTCTACGGGTCTGTGTGTTTGTGTGTGTATGTGTGTCTCTACGGGTCTTGTGTGTTTGTGTGTGTATGTGTGTCTCTACGGGTCTGTGTGTGTGTATGTGTGTCTCTACGGGTCTGTGTGTGTGTATGTGTGTCTCTACGGGTCTGTGTGTGTGTATGTGTGTCTCTACGGGTCTGTGTGTGTGTATGTGTGTCTCTACGGGTCTGTTTGTGTGTATGTGTGTCTCTGCAGGTCTGTGTGTATGTGTGTCTCTACGGGTCTGTGTGTGTGTATGTGTGTCTCTACGGGTCTGTGTGTGTATGTGTGTCTCTATGGGTCTGTGTGTGTTATTCTACGTCTGTGTGTGTGTGTGTCTGTGTGTGTCTATGTGTGTCTCTACGGGTCTGTGTGTGTATGTGTGTCTCTACGGGTCTGTGTGTGTATATGTGTGTCTCTACGGATCTGTGTGTGTGTATGTGTGTCTCTACGGGTCTGTGTGTGTGTATGTGTGTCTCTACGGGTCTGTGTGTGTGTATGTGTGTCTCTACGGGTCTGTGTGTGTGTATGTGTGTCTCTACGGGTCTGTGTGTGTGTATGTGTGTCTCTACGGGTCTGTGTGTATGTGTGTCTCTACAGGTCTGTGTGTATGTGTGTCTCTACAGGTCTGTGTGTATGTGTGTCTCTACAGGTCTGTGTGTATGTGTGTCTCTACAGGTCTGTGTGTATGTGTGTCTCTACAGGTCTGTGTGTATGTGTGTCTCTACAGGTCTGTGTGTATGTGTGTCTCTACAGGTCTGTGTGTATGTGTGTCTCTACAGGTCTGTGTGTATGTGTGTCTCTACAGGTCTGTGTATGTGTGTCTCTACAGGTCTGTGTATGTGTATGTGTGTCTCTACGGGTCTGTGTATGTGTATGTGTGTCTCTACGGGTCTGTGTGTGTGTGTATGTGTGTCTCTACGGGTCTGTGTGTGTGTGTATGTGTGTCTCTACGGGTCTGTGTGTGTGTGTGTGTGTATGTGTGTCTCTATGGGTCTGTGTGTGTTATTCTACGTCTGTGTGTGTGTGTGTCTGTGTGTGTCTATGTGTGTCTCTACGAGTCTGTGTGTGTATGTGTGTCTCTACGGGTCTGTGTGTGTGTATGTGTGTCTCTACGGGTCTGTGTGTGTGTATGTGTGTCTCTACGGGTCTGTGTGTGTGTGTATGTGTGTCTCTACGGGTCTGTGTGTGTGTGTGTATGTGTGTCTCTACGGGTCTGTGTGTGTGTGTGTATGTGTGTCTCTACGGGTCTGTGTGTGTGTGTGTATCTCTACGGGTCTGTGTGTGTGTGTATGTGTGTCTCTACGGGTCTGTGTGTGTGTGTGTGTCTCTACGGGTCTGTGTGTGTGTGTGTGTCTCTACGGGTCTGTGTGTGTATGTGTGTCTCTACGGGTCTGTGTGTGTGTGTGTATGTGTGTCTCTACGGGTCTGTGTGTGTGTATGTGTGTCTCTACGGGTCTGTGTGTGTGTATGTGTGTCTCTACGGGTCTGTGTGTGTGTATGTGTGTCTCTACGGGTCTGTGTGTGTGTATGTGTGTCTCTACGGGTCTGTGTGTGTGTGTGTGTCTGTGTGTGTGTCTCTCTGTGTGAGCAGCGTCCATCTTTGCGGAGAACTTTGGCCCAGACTTCCGTGACGGCGAGGGCTTCTTCTCCGTGTTCGCCATCTTCTTCCCGGCCGCCACGGGAATCCTCGCCGGAGCCAACATCTCCGGCGACCTCGCCGTGAGGCCCTGCACAACCACCACCAACCACCACCCACTACACCCACACACCCACAGAACCACCACCACCCGCTACACCCACACACCCACAGAACCACTACCACCAACCACCACCACCCGCTACACCCACACACCCACAGAATCACCACCACCAACCACCACACTCACACACCCACTACACCCACTACACCCACAGAACCACCACCACCAACCACCACACTTACACACCCACTACACCCACTACACACACAGAACCACCACCACCAACCACCACACTTACACACCCACTACACCCACTACACCCACACACCCACAGAACCACCACCACCACTACACCCACAGAACCACCACCACCAACCACCACCCCACTCACATACCCACTATACTCACATACTCACTGCACCCACACACCCACAGAACCACCACCCCCACTCACACACCCACTACACCCACACACCCACAGAATCACCACCACCACCAACCACCACCACACTTACACACCCACTACACCCACTACACCCACTACACCCACTACACCCACACACCCACAGAACCACCACCACTACACCCACAGAACCACCAACACCAACCACCACCCCACTCACACACCCACTACACCCACTACACCCACACACCCACAGAACCACCACCAACTACCACACTAACACACCCACTACACCCACACACCCACAGAACCACCACCTCCACTACACCCACCACACCCACCACAACACCCAGGGACCCACCGCTAACCACCACTACTACCACACCCACCACACCCACACACCCATCGAATCGCTAACAACCACCACCTTACCGACCGAGCACTGCTACCATCACCACCACCCCAATGCCAAGCCACCAACATTGCCCGCCACCCCTCCGCCCCATCCCTGTTTCCGTTGCCCCGCCGTGCCGTTACTTTGCCGCTACGCTACCCCTACGCTGCCGTGACTCTGCAGGACCCCCAAGCTGCCATCCCCAAGGGAACCATGTTGGCCATCCTCATCACCACGATCACCTACATCGGCGTGGCCGTGTGTGCCGGTGAGCTCCAACCGCTACCCCATTCCTTCATTTCTCCTTCGCTCCCCTGGTTATTTATTTACTTGCTCAGTCATTCCTTCGCTCATTCATTTTGGCAGCAGCTGTGGCTCGGGCTGCCGGTGAGGGCTGCGCGGGGCGGGTGGCGCTCCGCGTCGAGCTTTAATGAGGGCCACGCGTTGTCCGCGGAGTCGCCGCTAACGCCTGGCACGTGCGTGTATGTGTACGTGTGCGTGCGCGTGCCTCAAACGAGCGTCCGGTGCGGTGCGCGCACGTACGTTGAACTTCTTTCGCACCGTACGTCGCCGACCGTGGCCAGCCGTGGCGCTGGCCAACCCACGCCGTCGTGCGCCGTGCCGACCTTCCTAGGCGCTCGCTAAGAGCGCTTGCCACAACGGTCCGTTAAAGACTGCGCCGGGGGATCTTTGTCTTTGTGCGTGCGTGCGTGCGCGTGCGTGTGTGCGTGTGTGTGTGTGTGCGTGTGTGTGTGCGTGTGTGTGTGCGTGTGCGTGCGTGTTTGTGTGTGCGTGCGTGCGTGTGTGTGTGTGCGTGTGCGTGCGTGTTTGTGCGTGCGTGTGTGTGCGTGTGTGTGTGCGTGCGTGTGCGTGTGCGTGCGTGTGTGTGCGTGCGTGTGCGTGCGTGTGCGTGCGTGTGCGTGCGTGTGCGTGCGTGTGCGTGCGTGCGTGTGCGTGCGTGTGCGTGCGTGTGCGTGTGTGTGCGTGCGTGCGCGTGCGTGTGTGTGTGTGCGTGTGCTCGTAGCGTCCTGCGTGCTGCGGGACGCCTCGGGGAATCTGAACGACACCTACGTTGCCGGCATCTCCACCAACTGCACCAACGCCGAGTGCGGCCTGGGCTTCGACTTCTCCAGCTGCTCCGTTGACCGCACCTGCAAGTTCGGCCTCATGAACAACTTCCAGGTCTCGAGGTCGGGGGGTCGGGAGAGGGGGGCGCTCGCGGAGGCAAGGCGGCCGCCCAGGGTGGGGGGGGGGGGCGGCGAGGAGGAGGAGGGGGGGGCGAGGAGGAGGAGGGGGGGGGCGAGGAGGAGGAGGGGGGGGCGAGGAGGAGGGGGGGCGAGGAGGAGGAGGAGGAGGAGGGGGGGGGCGAGGAGGAGGAGGAGGAGGGGGGGCGAGGAGGAGGAGGAGGAGGGGGGGGCGAGGAGGAGGAGGAGGAGGGGGGGCGAGGAGGAGGAGGAGGAGGGGGGGCGAGGAGGAGGAGGAGGAGGGGGGGCGAGGAGGAGGAGGAGGAGGGGGGGCGAGGAGGAGGAGGGGGGGCGAGGAGGAGGGGGGGCGAGGAGGAGGGGGGGTGAGGAGGAGGGGGAGGAGGGGGGGGTGAGGAGGAGGGGGGGGGCGAGGAGGGGAAGGAGGAGGGAGGGCAAGGAGGGGAAGGAGGAGGGAGGGCGAGGAGGAGGAGGGAGAGGAGGAGGAGGAGGGAGAGGAGGAGGGGGGGGCGAGGAGGTGGTGGAGGGGGGGGCGGGGAGGTGGTGGAGGAGGGGGGGTGAGGAGAAGGGGGGGGTGAGGAGGAGGAGGAGGGGGGGGCGAGCGAAGGTCGCGGCTACGACGCGGAGTCATCGCCACGCGGGGGGTGGCTCCATCAGCGCTCGGTCAGAGGGAGAAGAGAGTGGGAGAGGCGGTCAGTCGTGGGCACAGGATATCAAGGGTTTGAGCAGGCGGCGGAAGCAGCAGAGGAGACCGAGGCTGTAATGAGAGGGGAGAGGCAGGAGAGAGTGTGCAGGGGAGGAGGGAGATGAGAGGGCGGAGACGCAGGGGTGAGTGCCCGGGCTGCGATTCTCTCTGCCGCCCTCTCCGTGTGTGTGTCTGTGTGTGTCTGTGTGTGCGTGTGTCTGTGTGCGTGTGTCTGTGTGCGTGTGTCTGTGCGTGTGTCTGTGCGTGTGTCTGTGCGTGTGTCTGTGCGTGTGTCTGTGCGTGTGTCTGTGCGCGTGTGTCTGTGCGTGTGTCTGTGCGCGTGTGTCTGTGCGTGTGTCTGTGCGCGTGTGTCTGTGCGCGTGTGTCTGTGCGTGTGTCTCTGCGTGTGTCTCTGCGTGTGTCTCTGCGTGTGTCTGTGCGTGTGTCTGTGCGTGTGTCTGTGCGTGTGTGTGTCTGTGCGTGTGGAGGGGAGCGATAGGGCAGCGGTTAGCACAGCGCTACAAACCCGGCGACCAGAGTTTGATTCCCTCTCACGGCCAACATCGGTGACAAATACCTCACCTGGTCCTGGGCTTCCCCTCGGTCGACCTAGCCCCGAATGAGTACCTGGTGCGGTGTGTAGTAAACGTCGCCGCTGGGGAGACAAAGGCGGCCGGGCGTGGCGCCGGCTGCCCCACGCCCCCTCGCGCGCCGTGCCGGCCTTCGTAGGTTCTGCTCGCGAGCAGCACTTGCCCCAGCGGTGCGTTAAGGCTACGCGGGGGAGGCGGTGGGACCTTCACGGTTGTGCGTGTGTGAGCAGGTGATGTCGATGGTCTCGGGATTCGGTCCGCTCATCATCGCCGGCATCTTCTCGGCCACGCTCTCCTCGGCCCTCGCCTCCCTCGTCAGTGCTCCCAAGGTCTTCCAGGCGAGTGCCGCCGCCGCCGCCGCCGGCGTCCCTGCTGCGTTGGCTTGGGTCGGGGAGACGGTGACGGTGGCCGAGCGGCACGCGGCCTACGCTCGCACGCCGGTCGGACGTGGCGGTCGAGGTGACCCCCGCCACGCGTGACCCCTGCAGGGGGGCGGCGGTGGTGGGGGGCGCGGGGGGGGGGGGGAGGGAGATTCGGGAAACCGTCCTCGTTTGTCTCCACTGCCGCGTCGGGAGACGGAGTCGAACCGGCGACGTCCCGGTGGCGGGTCGAGCGCGCCGATCGCCGTGCCGCTGGCGCCTCGACCCCTGCGGTGGCAATGGCGGCGCTCGGCGTATTGCTGTGAGAACGACAGCGCCGCACGTGGCCGTGCTCTGACTGGAACGCGCTTGTTTGCGTTTGCGCGGTTGTTCTGTTGTGCGCGCGTTGTGCATGTACGTCCGTCCATGTGCGTGCGTACGGCAGTCCTTGCGAGTGTGTGTTTGTGCGTGTCTCGGTGCTCGCTAACAGCACTTGCCCCAACGGTCTGTTGAAGGCGACATGGGGGATCTTTGTCTCTATTGGCTGTGGGGAGCGGCGGCACAATGGTTAGCGCGCCGCCCCACGAACCCGGCGACCGGAGTTCCATTCTCCCTCGCGCCCAGCACCAGTGATGATTATATGAACCGGTCCTAGGCCTGACTACCGAGTGCGGTGTCTAAACATTGCCGCTAGGGAGACAAAGGCGGTGGGGCGTGGTGCTGACCTCCCTCGTCGTGTGCCGTGCGGGCCTTCATAGGTGCTCCGTGACAGCGCTTGCCGCAACGGTCTGTGAAGGCTACACGTGTGGGGTCTTTGTAGGCTCTGTGCAAGGACAACATCTACCCGGGGTTCGAGATGTTCGCCACTGGCTATGGCAAGAACAACGAGCCGATCCGTGGCTACATCCTCACCTTCTTCATCGCCCTCGCGTTCATCCTCATCGGTGAGCAAACGCCGCGACCCCCACAGCGCCACCACGACCACCGCCGCACGCATTTGCGTGTGTTCGTGTGTGTCTGTGTGTGTGTGTGTCAGTGTGTGTGTTCGTGTGTGTCAGTGTGTGTGTCAATGTGCGTGTAAGTGGGGAGCGGTGGTGTAGCTGTTAGCGCTACGCTGCGCTACGAACCCGGCGACCCGAGTTCGATTCCCGCTCACGGCCGACACCGGTGGCGATTATCTGAACCGGTCCCGGGCCTCCCCTAGGTCGACTCGGCCTCAAATGAGTACCTGGTGCGGTGTGTAAACATCGCAACTGGGGAGACAAAGGCGGTCGGGCGTGGTGCTGGCCACCCCACCCCCTCGTGTGCCTTTCCGGCCTTCGTAGGTGCTGCTCGCAAACAGCACTTGCCTCTACAGTCTGTTAAGACTACACGGGGGATCTTTGTGTGTGCGCAGCGGAGCTGAACACCATCGCTCCCATCATCTCCAACTTCTTCCTGGCCTCCTACGCGCTCATCAACTTCTCCTGCTTCCACGCGTCCTTCGCAAAGTCTCCCGGTGAGGGGGGGCCCGGAGAGAGGGGGGGGGCCCCCGGAGAGGGGGGGGGCCGGAGAGGGGGGGGGGGGGGCCCGGAGAGGGAGGGGGGGAGTGACGTGCGCGTGTGTGCGTGTGTGTGTGTGTGTGTGCAGGCTGGCGCCCCGCCTTCCGCTACTACAACATGTGGGTGTCCCTGTTTGGCGCCGTGCTCTGCTGCGCCGTCATGTTCGTCATCAACTGGTGGGCGGCGCTCATCACCTACGCCATCGTGCTGGGGCTCTACATCTACGTGGTGTACAAGAAGCCCGGTGGGCACCCCTCGCCACCCTCGCCACCCTCGCCTCCCTCGCCTCCCTCGCCACCCTCGCCACCCTCGCCACCCACGCCTCCCTCGCCACCCTCGCCACCCTCGCCACCCTCGCCTCCCTCGCCACCCTCGCCACCCTCGCCACCCTCGCCACCCTCGCCACCCTCGCCACCCTCGCCACCCTCGCCTTCCTTGTCTCCCTCTCTTCCTGACCCCCATCCTCACCCTCCTCTTCTGTCACTTCCCATCACCTTCCCACTTCACCCTCCTCCTACCACCTCCTCCCTGCCCCCCCCCCCACACTGACCCCTGCCCCCCCCCCCCACACTGCCCCCCCCCACACTGAACCCCCCCCACACTGACCCCCCCCACAATGACCCCCCCCCACACTGACCCCTGCCCCCCCCCCCACACTGACCCCCCCCCACACTGACCCCCCCCCCCCACACTGACCCCTGGCCCCCCAACCCCCCCCATGTGGAGCAGACGTGAACTGGGGCTCGTCGACGCAGGCGCTGTCCTACCTGAACGCGCTGCAGGACAACCTGCGCCTCTACGGGGTCGAGGAGCACGTCAAGAACTTCCGGTACTGCCCGCCGTGTCTCCGTGTCTCCGTGTCTCCGTGTCTCCGTGTCTCCGTGTCTCCGTGTCTCTGTGTCTCTGTCTCCGTGTCCCCTGTCTCCGTGTCCCCTGTCTCTGTGTCTCTGTGTCTCCGTGTCCCCCGTCTCCGTGTCTCCGTGTCTCCCGTCTCCGTGTCTCCCGTCTCCGTGTCCCCGTGTCTCCGTGTCTCCCGTCCCCGTGTCTCCCGTCTCCGTGTCCCCATTCCCCCCCGTCTCCGTGTCTCCGTGTCTCCGTGTCCCCCGTCTCCGTGTCTCCGTGTCTCCCGTCTCCGTGTCTCCCGTCTCCGTGTCTCCCGTCTCCGTGTCTCCCGTCTCCGTGTCCCCTGTCTCCGTGTCTCCTCTCTCCGTGTCTCCGTGTCTCCCGTCTCCGTGTCTCCGTGTCTCCCATCTCCGTATCTCCCGTCTCCGTGTCTCCGTGTCTCCCGTCTCCGTGTCTCCCATCTCCGTGTCCCCATTCCCCCCCGTCTCTGTGTCCCCGGGCCTGCAGGCCGCAGTGCCTGGTGATGACGGGCGCCCCCCCTCACCGCCCGGCGCTCATCGACCTCGTCCACTGCTTCACCAAGAACGTGGGCCTCCTCATCTGTGGCCACGTGGTGCTGGTGAGAGCCGCAGCCCCTCCTCCTAATCCCCCTCCACGCTGTCCTGCTCGCTCGTTCACCCGCTCTCTCATTCGCTCGCTGGTTACCCCCACGCTCGTTCACCTGATCGCTCGTTCACCAGCTCGCTCGTTCACCAGCTCGCTCGTTCACCTGATCGCTCGTTCACCCCCTCGCTCATTCACCCGATCGCTCGTTCACCAGCTCGCTCGTTCACCCGCTCGCTCGTTCACCCGCTCGCTCGTTCACCTGATCGCTCGTTCACCCCCTCGCTCATTCACCCGATCGCTCGTTCACCAGCTCACTCGTTCACCAGCTCGCTCGTTCACCAGCTCGCTCGTTCACCCGCTCGCTTTTTCACCCCCTCGCTCGTTCACTCCCTCGCTCGTTCACCCCCACGCTCGTTCACCCGCACGCTCATTCACCCGATCGCTCGTTCACCAGCTCGCTCGTTCACCCGCTCGCTCGTTCACCCCCACGCTCATTCACCCCCACGCTCGTTCACCCGCTCTTGCGAATGAGACTCATCTTGGTCTTGAGTTCTCACCCAAGCCGCTGGAAGCTTGACAGCGTGGCCGGGGGGTCCAGGGGCCGCGGTGCGACCACGAACCCTTTCTCGCACTCGCAACAGCCGGGTTGGGAAATGCCGAGAGAAGAGCTCTCACGTGGTTACCTTCATTCACACTTTGCCAAACGAAATCGTTCGGTCGAACACTCGCTCGGTCGATCGATCGGTCGCAGCGTCTGGGGGCAAATGGTGACCCCTTGCCCCCCCTCCCCTCCCCGCTCCCCCCCCTCTCACCCCCCGCAGGGCCCCCAACGCCAGGCGCTCAAGGAGCTGTTTGCTGCCCAAGTGAAGCACCAGCGCTGGCTGCTCAAGGAGCACAAGAAGGCGTTCTACTCGCCCGTGTGCAGCCACGACCTACGTGAGGGCGTGCAGGTCCTGCTGCAGGTCAGCGCGGTGGGCGGCGGGGGCGGGGGGTGGGGTGCGGTAACGGTGGGGGGGCTGGGTGGGTGGGGGGGGCTGTCCGTACGACATCGTCACCGGTGGGGAACCCCATCCGCATGCCGCCTCTCCCCCGCAGGCCGCAGGTCTGGGCCGCATGAAGCCCAACATCCTGGTGCTGGGCTTCAAGAAGGACTGGCGGCGGGCCGACGGCGCCGCCGTGGAGAGCTACATCCACGCCATACAGTGAGCGCCACGCGGCACCGCCCCCTCGTGACCCCCCCCCCGGCACCCCCCCCGCCCCTCGCGACCTTGCCTGTTAACGCTCGTGCCCCGTGCCCCCCAGCGACGCGTTTGACCTGCAGTTCGGGGTGGTGGTGGCGCGCGTGCGTGAGGGATTCGACATCTCCTCTGCCCTGCAGCTGCAAGGTGAGGCCCGGGGTGGGGGGGGGGGGGGGGGGGTGAAGGGGGGGGGGACATAGTGGGGGAGTGGGGTGAAATGGGGGGGGGGCACGTGGTGGGGGAGGGGGGGCACACAACGGCCACAGCGGTTTTGGCAATGGCGATGGTGGTGATGGGTGCCCTCCCCCCACCACCGGACATACAGAGGAGCTTCTGGCACAGGAGATGGAGCGCGCCGCACAGGAGATGGCGGAGGTGGCAGTCGGTATGGACATGACCCCTGACCTGAGCGTCTATCAGAACATAACGGATGGAGACGAGAAGCCGGCCGGTACCGAGACCACAGCACTCCCACCACCACCACCACGACCACGACCAACCACACTCGGGCTCCACCACACACCAGTAGCACCACCACAGAAGTCGGTGTGTGTGCGTGGATGAATGGTCGTGGGTGGGTAGTTGTGTGTGGGTAGTTGTGGGTGTGTAGTTGTGGGTGTGTAGTTGTGTGTCGGTGTGGTTGTGGGTGTGTGGTGTGGTTGTGGGTGTGTAGTTGTGGATGTGTGTGTCGGTGTGTAGTTGTGTGTGTGTGTGGTGGTGTGGTTGTGGTTGTGTGGCTGGGTTAGTGGTGGTGTGGTTGAGAGGTGGTGTTTGTGACTCAGTGGAGCTGTCCTGGATAAATAATAAGTAAATAATTTTAACGTTATTTTTCACAACTTGATGTCGATGAGCTCTCACTGCACTCGCGAAGTCCGCAATCTGCACTGCTCCGGGTTCCGTTCCTCTTCGTGCCCCTCCCCTCACCTCCCCCTCACACCCCCACCCCCCACACACCCCCACCCCCCACACACCCCCACCCCTCTCACACCCCCACCCCTCTCACACCCCCACCCCTCTCACACCCCCTCCCCTCACGCCCCACCCCTCACGCCCCTCCCCTCACACCCTGCGCTTCACGTGGTGGCGGCGGTGGCGCAGGAAGGGGGCGACCCCACGCGGAGCGGCGGAAACAATCATGGCTGCTGCGGAGGCCATTGCTGAAACCAGGCAGGGCCCCCCCCCACCTCCTCACCCCCCCACCTCCTCACCCCCCCACCTCCTCACCCCCCCACCTCCTCACCCCCCCACCTCCTCACCCCCCCACCCCCTTGCCCAGCACTCGATCTACGAGGACCGTGGCAACTTTGGTGGGTGGTGGAATGGACCAAGTTCTCTCTCGCCAATCAAATCAATCCCTGACGAAGACTGTGTTTTGCGTGTGTGTGTGTGTGTGCGCGTGCTGAACAATGATTGGTCTACAGACTTCAATATAGCCCCGGTACTGGTCACTAGGTGATTGGGGATGGCTCGCCCTGTCTGACGTTGTCAGTCACGTGACCTCGGTCTCCCATCTGATTGGCAGTTGCCTTCGTTGGGAAGTTAAACCGACACTAAACATTTTTTTATTTCACCAGGCAAGGCCCCACTGAGCTATGTGGCTCTTTTTTTCCAGAAGCGACCTGGCCACAGGTGATAACTCAACACAGTGGCTCATCATCACGTGGAAATTTATAGCAGCCAAAGACTCTTAAACGCGTGCTCCTAAATGTGGAGGGTAAAAAACCGGGGGACCCGGAGAAAAATCCACGCGACCACTGGGAGGGAGAGACACGCAAACTCCAAATATACAGCAGCAGGCGTCAGGGTCGGGATCGTACCCACGAGCTCCTGTATACCGGGCGAGGTGGTTAACATCTCCCAGCCACCGCGACGCCCCATGATTGTTGTGTGTGCAGCAGCGAGTCCCCGGGTGGTGCCGTCCCTGAACGCCGCCGATCAGAAGCTGCTGGATGGGAGCTCCCAGTTCCAGCGCCGCCAGGGGAAGGGAACCGTCGACGTGTGGTGGCTCTTCGACGACGGCGGTGCGCCCCGCCGCCCCTCGCACCCTCGCCACCATGCACCCTCGCTATCTCACCACCTTCGCCACCACCACGCTCCCTCGCCTCCACGCACCCTCGCCACCCTCGCCACCACCACGCACCCTCGCTACCTCACCACCTTCGCCACCACCATGCTCCCTCGCCTCCACGCACCCTCGCCACCCTCGCCACCATGCACCCTCGCCACCCTCGCCACCCTCGCCACCATGCACCCTCGCCACCCTCGCCACCATGCACCCTCGCCACCATGCACCCTCGCCACCCTCGCCACCATGCACCCTCGCCACCCTCGCCACCACCACGCACCCTCGCCACCATGCACCCTCGCCACCCTCGCCACCACTACGCACCATCGCCACCACCCTCACCACCACCACGCTCCCTCGCCTCCACGCACCCTCGCCACCACCACGCACCCTCACCACCCTCGCCACCACCACGCACCCTCGCTACCTCACCACCCTCGCCACCACCCTCGCCACCACCACGCACCCTCACCACCCTCGCCACCACCACGCACCCTCGCTACCTCACCACCCTCGCCACCATCCTCACCACCCTCGCCACCACCACGCACCCTCGCCACCACGCTACCTCACCACCCTCACTCCCTCACCACCTCGCCCCCACATTCCCACGTTGTGGTGGTTCCGGTCGCCGTGCAGTGCGCGGTGCCAGTCGACAAAAACTGAGAAGAGAGCGAAGCAGCCCAGATATACCCGCGTGGAGTGAGAGGGGAAGACGTGGATTAGAGCGCATACCCCGCCTAACGTCCTCCCCCGCGTCTTCCCCGTGTCTCCTTGTGTCTCCCCGTGTCTCTGCCACGTCTCCCCGTGTCTTCTTGTGTCTCCCCGTGTCTCTGCCACGTCTCCCCCGTGTGTTCGTGCCCCGTGTCTCCCCCGTGTCTTCTTGTGTCTCCCCGTGTCTCTGCCACGTCTCCCCTGTGTGTTCTTGTGTCTCCCCGTGTCTCTGCCACGTCTCCCCCGTGTGTTCGTGTCTCCCCCGTGTCTCCCCCGTGTGTTCGTGTCTCCCCCGTGTCTCCCCCGTGTCTTCTTGTGTCTCCCCGTGTCTCTGTCACGCCTCACCGCAGGCCTTACGCTGCTCATCCCGTACATCCTGACCACCAAGAAGAAGTGGGGCGACTGTAAAATCCGCGTGTTCATCGGTGGAAAAATCAACCGCATCGACCACGAGCGGAGGATGTGAGTCCCACCACGCCGCCAGCACACCGGGGGCTTGCTGTGTACTGTGCTGTGTGTGCACTGTGCTGCGTGTGTGCTGCGTGTGTGCTGTGTGTTCTACACAGCTTCTACTGTGCTGCGTGTACTATGCTGTGCGTGTGCTGTGCGTGTGCTGTGCTGTGTGTGTGCTGTGTGTACTGTGCTGTGTGTGCTGCGTGTTTTACGCAGCTTCTACTGTGCTGCGTGTACTGTACTGCACAAGTGCTGCGTGTATTGTGCTGTGTGTGTGCTGTGTGTACTGTGCTGTGTGTGTGCTGTGTGTACTGTGCTGTGTGTGTGCTGTGTGTTCTACACAGCTTCTACTGTGCTGCGTGTACTATGCTGTGCGTGTGCTGTGCTTGTGCTGTGCTGTGTGTGTGCTGTGTGTACTGTGCTGTGTGTGCTGCGTGTTTTACGCAGCTTCTACTGTGCTGCGTGTACTGTACTGCACAAGTGCTGCGTGTATTGTGCTGTGTGTGTGCTGTGTGTACTGTGCTGTGTGTGTGCTGTGTGTACTGTGCTGTGTGTGTGCTGTGTGTTCTACACAGCTTCTACTGTGCTGCGTGTACTATGCTGTGCGTGTGCTGTGCTTGTGCTGTGCTGTGTGTGTGCTGTGTGTACTGTGCTGTGTGTGCTGCGTGTTTTACGCAGCTTCTACTGTGCTGCGTGTACTGTACTGCACAAGTGCTGCGTGTATTGTGCTGTGTGTGTGCTGTGTGTACTGTGCTGTGTGTGTGCTGTGTGTACTGTGCTGTGAGTGTGCTGTGTGTTCTACACAGCTTCTACTGTGCAGCGTGTACTATGATGTGCGTGTGCTGTGCTTGTGCTGTGCTGTGTGTGTGCTGTGTGTACTGTGCTGTGTGTGCTGCGTGTTTTACGCAGCTTCTGCTGTGCTGCGTGTACTGTACTGCACAAGTGCTGCGTGTATTGTGCTGTGTGTGTGCTGTGTGTACTGTGCTGTGTGTGTGCTGTGTGTACTGTGCTGTGTGTGTGCTGTGTGTTCTACACAGCTTCTACTGTGCTGCGTGTACTGTACTGCACAAGTGCTGCGTGTATTGTGCTGTGTGTGTGCTCTCTGTTGCCTTGCGTGCCATGTCAACCAGGATGGCGACTCTACTGAGTAAGTTCCGCATCGACTTCTCCGACATCCAGGTCCTGGGAGACATCAACAGCAAACCGTCTGCAGAGAGGTGCACCCACGCACACACAGAGACACACACACACAGAGACACACACACACAGAGACACACACACACAGAGACACACACACAGAGACACACACACCCAGAGACACACACACACACAGTCACACACACACACACAGTCACACACAGACCCCCCATATAGCCTTAACAGACTGTAGGGGCATGTGTTGTTAGCGAGCACCTATGAAGGCCGGAACGGTACACGAGGGGGTGGGTGGCCAGCACCACGCCCGACCGCCTTTGTCTCCCTAGTGGCAATGTTTACACATCGTACCAGGTACTCATATGAGGCTGAGTCGACCTAGGGGAGGCCCGGGACAGGTTCAGATAATCATCACTGGTGTTGGCCGTGAGCGGGAATCGAACCCGTGTTGCCGGGTTCATAGCGCAGCGCACTAACACACACACACGGACACAAACGCAGACACACAGACACACACAGATGCACAGACGCACAGACAACAACAACAACTGCCATTCGCCACTAAGTGGCGGTGACGTCACCACGACGTTTGTGCCAGGCTATGTGCACCCTGAGGCCACGTGAAGTGTCGAACGCCCGCTGGCAGGAGGTCACTGGGCAGACCCAGGTGCCACGGGTCGACTGACTGAGATGACTGCCAAGATGCCCCACCTGTGCCCCCTACTGTGCCACCTCTCTGCATTTTAGCCGCCTCGTGGACCATTCGTTGATGTGAGCATCGATCATCTTGCCCCGTGTTGTTGGAGGGCGACTTCCTTCAACTGCTTCAAGTGCCACAGCTACCCAGTACTGCCGCATCAGTCTCCACCCCTTCTCTCGCCCGTGCTGCACCATTTTGGCCCCTTCTGTCCGGCCAAACGGAAGCTGCTTGGGCATGTGGTGTGGCTGGGCATGTGGTGTGGCTGGGCATGTGGTGTGGCTGGGCATGTGGTGTGGCTGGGCATGTGGTGTGGCTGGGCATGTGGTGTGGCTGGGCATGCGGTGTGGCTGGGCATGCGGTGTGGCTGGGCATGCGGTGTGGCTGGGCATGCGGTGTGGTTGGGCATGCGGTGTGGCTGGGCATGCGGGCTACATGACCTAGCCGGCGTGCATCCACGATGTCGTGCGGATGCTCCGATGCCAGAACAGCGTTTTGGTAGTTGGAAGCCTTTAGGCCGCACAGCAGTCCAGCAGCCATCTGCTTGCATGCCTCCAAATCACTCCAGCACAGGCGCTTGTGTCATGACCCACTCGAGCATGAAAGTCTCCTAATAAAGGTCACCCTATCCTGAGAGCCCACTTTAGTCAGCACCTGGGAACATTTATAGAAGGCATCTGTCTCATCAGCTTGGCCTGCATCCGTCCACTGATGTTCATCTGCGGTGGGAGTATAAGCCGCTGCCGCCATTCCTCGCCTCTCATTGATGTGGAGGCGAGCCCACGGTAGTCTGGGACTCGCAGGTTCCCACACCACGCCTCCTGCATTATTTCGTTAACAAGAAGAGCCACGTCATGCTGTTTCGCAGTTTCCTGCCCCGAGTGGAGAACTGTCCACCCCTTGCGGTGACTGGAGCCGTAAACCCGGTTCACCTGGACCTCTGTATGCCGCAGAGGTCCAGGCGGTGGTACTGGTACCAACTCCCAGCAGATGAATGGCAGCCTCTCCGACGCAGCGAGCGTCCGGACATTCTAAATGGCCAACCGCAGTGGTTTCCGGCTGTTTCTGGTGGAACCGCGAGGGGGGTTGGGGGGGGGGGGTTCAGTCTCCACCGAATGGGGGTTTGGCCAGGAGACGTCACGGACTCCTGTCCCCCTCCAAGGAGTCTCCGGCACAAACTTTCACCGGAAGCGCACCGAGACAAAGATCTTTGTGCGCTGCCGGTGAAAATGAAAGCACACGAAGGCGCGCGACGTACACACACGTGACGTACACACACACGACGTGCACACACACACGACGTACACACACGTGACGTACACACACGTGACGTACACACACGTGACATACACACACGTGACACACACACACGTGACACACACACACACGACGTACACACACGTGACGTACACACACACGACATACACACACGCGCGACACACACACGTGACGTGTACACACACGACGTACACCAACACGACGTACATACACACACACGACGTACACACACACGACGCACACACACGTGACGTACACACACACACGTGACGTACACACACGCGTGACGTACACACACACACGACGTACACACGCGACATACACACAGACGCACAGACGGACACGCGGAACTCGCGCAGCCGCGTTGTCGCCGCCGGCATCGCCGCCCCACGCACAGCGCGACGTTGGCGTGCCCCCCCCCCCGCCCCAACCCGCCGCGTGCAGCGTGAAGCTGTTTGACGAGATGGTGGAGCCGTTCCGGTTGCACGAGGGGCAGAAGGACGACGCGGCGAGCGCCGAGAGACTCCGGGCGCAGTTCCCGTGGAAGATCTCCGACGCCGAGCTGGAGACGATGCGGATCAAGGTGCCTCCGCCACCGCCGCCACCGCTGCCACTGCTGCCACCGCCACCGCTGCCACCGCCGGTCCGCGACCGGCGACTCGCGAGGTGTGGTTTACGAGTGTGGTTGTGTGTGTCCGCCCGTCCCCTTCAGACGCTGCGGCAGATCCGGCTCAACGAGCTGCTGCAGGAGCATTCGCGGAGTGCCAACCTCATCGTCATGTGAGTTCCTCCTCCTCCTCTTCCCTTCTCGCACACTCCTCCGTGTCAACCACGCACGGTGGCGACGGGTGTTGGTGATGGTGGTGGTGTGGTAGTGTTGTTGTGACGTGGTGGTGTGTGGTCATGTGGTGGTGTGGTAGTGTGGTTGTGACGTGGTGGTGGTGTGGCAGTGTTTACAATGGTGTCGTGTGCTGACGTGGTAGTGTGGTGACGTGATGACGTGGTGGTGTTGGTGTTTGCGGTGTCAGAAGCCTCCCCGTGGCGCGCAAGGGCTCCGTGTCGAGTCTGCTGTACATGGCCTGGCTGGAGGCGCTCACCAAGAACCTGCCGCCAACCATGCTCATCCGGGGCAACCACCAGAGCGTGCTCACCTACTACTCGTAGCACCACAACCACCACCGCACAACCACCACACAACCACCACACAACCACCAGAGCGTGCTCACCTACTACTAGTAGCACCACCACCACCACCGCACAACCACCACACAACCACCACCACACAACCACCAGAGCGTGCTCACCTACTACTAGTAGCACCACCACCACAACCACCACCACACAACCACCAGAGCGTGCTCACCTACTACTCGTAGCACCACAACCACCACTGCACAACCACCACCACACAACCACCAGAGCGTGCTCACCTACTACTAGTAGCACCACCACCACAACCACCACCGCACAACCACCAGAGCGTGCTCACCTACTACTCGTAGCACCACAACCACCACCGCACAACCACCACACAACCACCACCACACAACCACCAGAGCGTGCTCACCTACTACTCGTAGCACCACCACCGCACAACCACCACACAACCACCACCACACAACCACCAGAGCGTGCTCACCTACTACTCGTAGCACCACCACCACCGCACAACCACCACACAACCACCACCACACAACCACCAGAGCGTGCTCACCTACTACTCGTAGCACCACCACCACCACTGCACAACCACCACCACACAACCACCAGAGCGTGCTCACCTATGCCTCATAACAGCACCACCGCCGCCACCACTACCGCAACCGCTAGCGTGTGCTTACCTATCACTCGTAGTAGCCCTGCACCACCATCACCACAGAGCAACTACAACCCCTACCACTGCTACCACCCATACAACCACGACAATTAGTGCCACCACACCTGCCACTAGTACCCCTACCACAAGTGCCCCTACCACTCGTGCCAGACTACCCCCCCCCCCTCCCGTGACCCCACGTGCTGTAGTGTTATCGTCGTTTATTGTTATTATGAAATACCTCGTCATGAGACGAGATGGGTCAGTCCTGCTGCTGCCTTAGGGACGTCCGCGACCCCGCAGGGCGACCTGGGGTGACCCCGCACCGTGACCCCGCGGGGCGACCCGGGGCGCGACCCGGGGCGACCTCGTGCCGCGACCCGGGGTGGTCGCTGGATGTAGGGTCAAGGGGTGGGGTAGAGGTGGGGGGGGTCGTCCGCGTGTTTTCCTGAGCCTTGGGGGTAATTCCCTTGCCACGCGTTTGCCCAACGCTTCCCCTTGCGACGGTGCGAGCTGTGGATATCGTCAACGTGCCCCCCTCCGTGCCCCCCTCCGCACTCGCCCCCCCCCGCCCCCCCCCCCCCCATAGCGCCGCGATCTCGGCAAGACGTTGGCGTAGACGCTCGTGTAGTTGCTCGCGTAGACGCTCGCGTAGACGCTCGTGTAGACCCGAGCCAAGCGTCGTCCCTGCCAACGCGCACCGCGGAGCTGCCGTCGCCGCGGCGCGGTCTAAGTTAATGCCGTCCCGTGTACCCCCACCGCACCGCGCGAGCCGACACCAAAGCGGTGACCGCGGTGGAGCCCTGTGTGTGGGGGGCCCTGTGTGTGGGGGGGCCCTGTGTGTGTGGGGGGGGGCCCTGTGTGTGGGGGGGGCCCTGTGTGTGGGGGGGGGGCCCTGTGTGTGGGGGGGGCCCCGTGTGTGGGGGGGGGCCCCCAGGCCGCCCACCCCGGGGTCACGGCGACCCGTCTAGTCGGTTTCTGCTCACCGAACAAATAAATGGTGTAGGAGAGTCGCGAGTGTGATTGTCAGTCGTGATTTTGAGTTGTGTGATTGTCAGTCGTGATTTTGAGTCGCGAGTGTGATTGTGAGTTGTGATTGAGTCACGAGTGTGATTGTGAGTCGTGATTTTGAGTCGCGATTGTGAGCTGTGATTGTGAGTCACGAGTGTGATTGTGAGTTGTGATTGAGAGTTCCGAGTGTGATGGTCAGTCGTGATTTTGAGTCGCAAGTGTGATTTTGAGTCGCGAGTGTGATTGTGAGTTGTAATTGAGAGTCACGAGTGTGATTGTGAGTCACGAGTGTGATTGTGAGTCGCGAGTGATTTTGAGTCACGAATGTGATTGTGAGTTGTGATTGAGAGTCACGAGTTGTAATTGAGAGTCACGAGTTGTAATTGAGAGTCACGAGTTGTAATTGAGAGTCACGAGTGTGATTGTGAGTCGCGAGTATGATTGTGAGTGAGTCCCGAGTGATTTTGAGTCACGAGTGTGATTGTGAGTTGTGATTGAGAGTCACGAGTGTGATTGTGAGTTGTGATTGAGAGTCACGAGTGTGATTGATTCACGAGTGTGATTGAGAGTCGCGAGTGTGATTGTGAGTTGTGATTGAGTCACGAGTGTGAATGAGAGTCGTGATTTTGAGTCACGAGTGTGATTGTGAGTCGCGAGTGATTTTGAGTCACGAGTGTGATTGTGAGTTGTGATTGAGAGTCACGAGTGTGATTGAGAGTCGCGAGTGATTTTGAGTCACGAGTGTGATTGAGAGTCACGAGTGTGATTGAGAGTAGCGAGTGATTTTGAGTCACGATTGTGAGTTGTGATTGAGAGTCACGAGTGTGATTGTGAGTCGCGAGTGTGATTGAGAGTCACGAGTGATTTTGAGTCACGAGTGTGATTGTGAGTTGTGATTGAGAGTCACGAGTGTGATTGAGTCGCGAGTGATTTTGAGTCACGAGTGTGATTGTGAGCTGTGATTGAGAGTCACGAGTGTGTTTGTGAGTCACGAGTGTGATTGTGAGCTGTGATTGAGAGTCACGAGTGTGACAGAGAGTCACGAGTGTGACAGAGAGTCACGAGTGTGACAGAGAGTCACGAGTGTGACTGAGAGTCACGAGTGTGACTGAGAGTCACGAGTGTGACTGAGAGTCACGAGTGTGAATGAGAGTCACGAGTGTGAATGAGAGTCACGAGTGTGAATGAGAGTCACGAGTGTGAATGAGTCGTGATTGAGAGGTGAGTGTGATTGAGAGTCACGAGTGTGATTGTGAGCTGTGATTGAGAGTCACGAGTGTGATTGAGAGTCGTGATTGAGAGTTGTGAGTATGATTGAGTCGTGATTTTGAGTCGCGAGTGTGATTGAGAGTGTGATTTTGAGTGGTGGAGCTCGGAGGAGGGCACGGGGGGGAGGCACGCTGGGTGGTGAAGCTGCGTTTTTATTTTATTTTATTTGTTATGAAAGCGTTCGGTCAAAGAAAGTCAATTGTTGCACACATCGGAGGCGTGTGGAGTCAGGCTCCCCACGTCGTGCGGCTTGAGACACAACAGACACGAGAAACAACAGACACGAGACACAACAGACATGAAGCAGACAACACGAGACACAACAGACACGAGACACAACAGACACGAGACACAACAGACATGAAGCAGACAACACGAGACACAACAGACACGAGACAACAGACACGAGGCAGACAACACGAGACACAACAGACACGAGACACAACAGACACGAGACACAACAGACACGAGACACAACAGACATGAAGCAGACAACACGAGACACAACAGACACGAGACAACAGACACGAGGCAGACAACACGAGACACAACAGACACGAGGCAGACAACACGAGACACAACAGACACGAGACACAACAGACACGAGGCAGACAACACGAGACACAACAGACACGAGACACAATAGACATGAGACACAACAGACACGAGACAGGCGAGGCTGAGTTGTGTCAAGGCTCGCTCGGCCAGCACCACCGTTTCTTGGGCGAAATTCGGCGTCACGGTGTCACGGCGTCACTGTCACAGTGACACGGTGTCACCGTGTCACTGTCACAGTGACGCCATGTCACTGCGTCACTGTCACCATGTCACCGTGACGCCATGTCACTGCGTCACTGTCATAGTGACGCAGTGACATGGCGACACGGCGCCACTGTGACAGTGTCATCGTGTCACAGTGACGCAGCGACATGGCGTCACTGTGACACCGTGACACGGTGTGACAGTGACGCGGTGACACCGTGACACGGCACAGCTTCACGAGACGGGACCACACTATGCGACACGGCAACGTGACACAGCAGGACAAAACACGGCACACGAGACGGGGCGGCCACGGCCCCTACTTGTAGTCGGGAGCGGGCAGCAGCACGCTGGCCACGAACGCCTCGTAGCGGACGACGCCCTGCGCTGGCACGTTGGCCTCCCGCAGCATCTCATCCACTGCAGGGTCAGAGGGCACAGGCACGGCCACACGTGGCATCAAGCGCTTAGTGGTGGTGGAAATAGCCATGGTGACGGTGTGCGTTGTGTGTCGTTAAATATGAAGCAACTTGATTTGAAGCTTTCGTGACTGCAGCAATCCACACTCTTTGGTTCTTTCGGTAAAGTCACGTGGGTAGAAAATAGATCACGACGTTTCGGGCGCCACACCGAAGCGGCCCTGGGCCCTCCTCCCTTAGGTCGACCCAGCCTCAAATGAGTGCCCGGTGCGGCGTGCAGTAAACATCGCCGCTGGGGAGTCAAAGGCGGTCGGGCGTGGTGCTGGCCACCCACTCCCTCGTGTGCCGTGCCGGCCTTAGCAGGTGCAACTCGCTAACAGCGCTTGCCCCGGCAGTCTGTTCGAGCCTATACGGGAGATCTTTGTGGTGGTGGTGGTGTTGGTGTTGCCCGCACCCTCGCTGGGGCGCATGCGCTCCCCCATGCGCGTCAGCTTCCCGCGGAGCTCGGCCGCCGTCACAAAGCCGCGGCGGCGCGGGTCGAGGGCGCGGAACGCGGCGAGGATCTCGCGCTCGGGGCGCTCGCGCTGCCGCTGGGCGTGCATGATGGCGAGGAACGTGGAGAAGTCGAGCTCCCCGCTGCGGCCTGCCGGGGGGGGGGGGACACGGGCGAGAGGTCACGGGCGAGAGGTCACGGGGGGCGTCGCCAAACAAACCGCGACCGCGTGGCTCCACGTGGCTCCACGTGCTCGTGACACGCAAAGAGCTTGCCACAAGCGAACCGCAATACCTCTCTGGTCTCGCCACGGGGCGTAAACCATCATCACGCGCCCACTCCGGTCGCGTTCGGATGCGCCGCTTCTGCGGCCGTCTGGAACGCTCTCCCCTTACCGATATTAGGAAGCCACTGGGAGCTATGGCACCTGAAAATAATTGTCTCGATTGACTAACTCATTTGTTTAGTACTGCCTGCTAGTTGTTGTGTTTAGATTGTTGTCCTTCGCCGGCACTTACGATTATCACGGTTGGCTACGTACGGTGCGAAGGAAGTTCTACATACCAAGCATACAGTGAGGGAAAAAAGTATTTGATCCCCTGCTGATTTTGTACGTTTGCCCACTGACAAAGAAATGATCAGTCTATAATTTTAATGGTAGGTTTATTTGAACAGTGAGAGACGGAATAACAAGAAAATCCAGAAAAACGCATGTTCAATGTTATAAATTTATTTCCATTTTAATGAGGGAAATAAGTATTTGACCCCCTCTCAATCAGAAAGATTTCTGGCTGAGATTAGGAGCACACTCTTAAAGGGAGTGCTCCTAATATCAGCTTGTTACCTGTATAAAAGACACCTGTCCACAGAAGCAATCAATCAATCAGATTCCAAACTCTCCACCATGGCCAAGACCAAAGAGCTCTCCAAGGATGTCAGGGACAAGATTGTAGACATACACAAGGCTGGAATGGGCTACAAGACCATTGCCAAGCAGCTTGGTGAGAAGGTGACAACAGTTGGTGCGATTATTCACAAATGGAAGGAACACAAAAGAACTGTCAATCTCCCTCGGCCTGGGGCTCCATGCAAGATCTCACCTCGTGGAGTTGCAATGATCATGAAAACGGTGAGGAATCAGCCCAGACCTACACGGGAGGATCTTGTCAATGATCTCAAGGCAGCTGGGACCATAGTCACCAAGAAAACAATTGGTAACACACTACGCCGTGAAGGACTGAAATCCTGCAGCGCCTGCAAGGTCCCCCTGCTCAAGAAAGCACATATAATGCCCGTCTGAAGTTTGCCAATGAACATCTGAATGATTCAGAGGACAACTGGTTGAAAGTGTTGTGGTCAGATGAGACCAAAATGGAGCTCTTTGGCATCAACTCAACTCGCCGTGTTTGGAGGAGGAGGAATGCTGCCTATGACCCCAAGAACACCATCCCCACCGTCAAACATGGAAGTGGAAACATTATGCTTTGGGGGTGTTTTTCTGCTAAGGGGACAGGACAACTTCACCGCATCAAAGGGACGATGGACGGGGCCATGTACCGTCAAATCTTGGGTGAGAACCTCCTCCCCTTAGTCAGGGCATTGAAAATGGGTCGTGGATGGGTATTCCAGCATGACAAAGACCCAAAACACACGGCCAAGGCAACAAAGGCGTGGCTCAAGAAGAAGCACATTAAGGTCCTGGAGTGGCCTAGCCAGTCTCCAGACCTTAATCCCATAGAAAATATGTAGAGGGAGCTGAAGATTCGAGTTGCCAAACGTCAGCCTCGAAACCTTAATGACTTGGAGAAGATCTACAAAGAGGAGTGGGACAAATCCCTCCTGAGATGTGTGCAAACCTGGTGGCCAACTACAAGAAACGTCTGACCTCTGTGATTGCCAACAAGGGTTTTGCCACCAAGTACTAAGTCATGTTTTGCAGAGGGGGTCAAATACTTATTTCCCTCATTAAAATGCAAATCAATTTATAACATTTTTGACATGCGTTTTTCTGGATTTTTGTTGTTATTCTGTCTCTCACTGTTCAAATAAACCTACCATTAAAATTATAGACTGATCATTTCTTTGTCAGTGGGCAAACGTACAAAATCAGCAGGGGATCAAATACTTTTTTCCCTCACTGTACATACGTGGTGTTCACCCTAGCTTCTCCCAAGTCGTATGGCCTAGCCTAGACACAACCCTGACCGCGTCCACCGAGACGGCCAACAATTTTCCGGCCGCGCAATTATCGGTAGCAGCGACAAAGGCAGCGAAGACGACAGCGATGACGGGAAGAGTCCACTCCGGCAGCCCCGAGCTCCCGCTCTCCGCTGCTTTTATTCTACTCGGCGCGGTCTGGCTCCGCCGGCGGTGTGACGGCGATCGGTGGTGAGAGGGCGAGCGGTGCGGTGCGGGCGAGTGGCGCGATGAGAGCGGGCGGTGCGGTGAGGGCGAGTGGAGGCCTCACCGATGCTGTGAGCCCGCAGGTGAGCGTCCGCCTCCGCCGGGGTGGGGCAGGCTCCGAGGCAGCGCATGATGGTGAGCAGCTCGGCGGCAGGGACGCGGCCCCGGGCGCGAGCGTCGTGCAGAGAGAAGCACTCCTTGTACTCTGGAGAGGGCGGCACGCGCGGCATGGCCAGGGCACGTGTGGGGTTTATACGGTGCACTGTGGGGTTTATACGGTGCACTGTGGGGTTTATACGGTGCAAGTTGTGGGGTTTATACGGTGCACTGTGGGGTTATACGGTGCAAGTGTGGGGTTTATATGGTGCACTGTGGGTTTATACGGTGCACTGTGGGGTTTATACGGTGCAAGTGTGGGGTTTATACGGTGCACTGTGGGGTTTATACGGTGCACTGTGGGGTTTATACGGTGCACTGAGGTTTATACGGTGCACTGTGGGGTTTATACAGTGCAAGTGTGGGGTTTATACGGTGCACTGTGGGGTTTATACGGTGCACTGTGGGGTTTTATACGGTGCACTGTGGGTTTATACGGTGCACTGTGGGGTTTATACGGTGCACTGTGGGGTTTATACGGTGCACTGTGGGGTTTATACGGTGCACTGTGGGGTTTATACGGTGCACTATGGGGTTTATACGGTGCACTGTGGGGTTTATACGGTGCACTGTGGGGTTTATACGGTGCAAGTGTGGGGTTTATACGGTGCAAATGTGGGGTTTATACGGTGCACTGTGGGGTTTATACGGTGCACTGTGGGGTTTATACGATGCACTGTGGGGTTTATACGGTGCACTGTGGGGTTTATACGGTGCAAGTGTGCCAGCTGTAACAGTGCGGGTGAGTGAGTGGTGAGGTGCTGTGTGGAGGTGAGTGGTGAGGTGCTGTGTGGAGGTGAGTGGTGAGGTGCTGTGTGGAGGTGAGTGGTGAGGTGCAGTGTGGAGGTGAGTGGTGAGGTGCTGTGTGGAGGTGAGTGGTGAGGTGTTGTGTGGAGGTGAGTGGTGTGAGGTGCTGTGTGGAGGTGAGTGGTGAGGTGCTGTGTGGAGGTGATGGTGAGGTTTTGTGTGGAGGTGAGTGGTGAGGTGCTGTGTGGAGGTGAGTGGTGAGGTGCTGTGTGGAGGTGAGTGGTGAGGTGCTGTGTGGAGGTGAGTGGTGAGGTGCTGTGTGGAGGTGAGTGGTGAGGTGCTGTGTGGAGGTGAGTGGTGAGGTGCTGTGTGGAGGTGAGTGGTGAGGTGCTGTGTGGAGGTGAGTGGTGAGGTGTTGTGTGGAGGTGAGTGGTGAGGTGCTGTGTGGAGGTGAGTGGTGAGGTGATGTTGTGGAGGTGAGTGGTGAGGTGCCGTGTGGAGGTGAGTGGTGAGGTGCAGTGTGGAGGTGAGTGGTGAGGTGCTGTGTGGAGGTGAGTGGTGAGGTGTTGTGTGGAGGTGAGTGGTGAGGTGCTGTGTGGAGGTGAGTGGTGAGGTGCTGTGTGGAGGTGAGTGGTGAGGTGCTGTGTGGAGGTGAGTGGTGAGGTGCTGTGCTGGAGGTGAGTGGTGAGTGCTGTGTGGAGGTGAAGTGGTGAGGTGCTGTGGGGAGGTGAGTGTTGAGGTGCTGTGTGGAGGTGAGTGGTGAGGTGCTGTGTGGAGGTGAGTGGTGAGGTGCTGTGTGGAGGTGAGTGGTGAGGGTTGTGTGGAGTGTGAGTGGTGAGGTGTTGTGTGGAGGTGAGTGGTGAGGTGCAGTGTGGAGGTGAGTGGTGAGGTGCTGTGTGGAGGTGAGTGTGAGGTGCTGTTGGAGGTGAGTGGTGAGGTGTTGTGTGGAGGTGAGTGGTGAGGTGCTGTGTGGAGGTGAGTGGTGAGGTGTTGTGTGGAGGTGAGTGGTGAGGTGCTGTGTGGAGGTGAGTGGTGAGGTGCTGTGTGGAGGTGAGTGGTGAGGTGCTGTGTGGAGGTGAGTGGTGAGGTGCTGTGTGGAGGTGAGTGGTGAGGTGCTGTGTGGAGGTGAGTGGTGAGGTGCTGTGTGGAGGTGAGTGGTGAGGTGCTGTGTGGAGGTGAGTGGTGAGGTGTTGTGTGGAGGTGAGTGGTGAGGTGCTGTGTGGAGGTGAGTGGTGAGGTGCTGTGTGGAGGTGAGTGGTGAGGTGCGGTGTGGAGGTGAGTGGTGAGGTGCAGGTGGAGGTGAGTGGTGAGGTGCTGTGTGGAGGTGAGTGGTGAGGTGTTGTGTGGAGGTGAGTGGTGAGGTGCTGTGTGGAGGTGAGTGGTGAGGTGCAGTGTGGAGGTGAGTGGTGAGGTGCTGTGTGGAGGTGAGTGGTGAGGTGCTGTGTGGAGGTGAGTGTGAGGTGCTGTGTGGAGGTGAGTGGGTGAGGTGCTGTGTGGAGGTGAGTGGTGAGGTGTTGTGTGGAGGTGAGTGGTGAGGTGTTGTGTGGAGGTGAGTGGTGAGGTGCAGTGTGGAGGTGAGTGGTGAGGTGCTGTGTGGAGGTGAGTGGTTGAGGTGCTGTGTGGAGGTGAGTGGTGAGGTGCTGTGTGGAGGTGAGTGGTGAGGTGCAGCAGCAGTGGCGGTGTCTCCTTTCGAGGCAGCTGAGGTCAGGTTTCCTTCCCCCCCCCCACCGCCTCCCCAGCCGCTCTGCAGCAGCAGGAGCAGCAGCAGCAGGGGCAGCAGCAGCAGCAGCAGTAGGGGCAGCAGGAGCAGTAGGAGCAGTAGGGGCCAGCAGCAGGGGCAGCAGCAGGGGCAGCAGTGGCGTCTGAGCAGCGTGGAGTCGCTGTCCAGTGGATGTCGGCGTAGCGGTCAGCGCGCTTCGCCGCACTACGAACCCCAGCGACCCGGGTTCGATTCCCGCTCACGGCCAACACCCCGTGACGATTATCTGAATCGGTCCCGGACCTCCCCTAGGTCGACTCCGCCTCAAACGAGTAACCCCGGTGCGCTGTGTAAACGTCGCCACCGGGGAGACAAAGGCGGCCGGGCGTGGTGCTGGCCACCCACCCCCTTCCGTTAGCCGTGCCGGCCTTCATAGGCGCAGGTGGAGTGGCGACCCTCACCCTGGTGACGTCCTATTGGCGACAGTGCCCCCTCCCCCCAACCCACCCAGCCTCTAAAAAAGAGTAAAGAATTTCGTGCGTCGCCACCCGTTAAAACTCCAGGGGTCGAGACAGCGATGGGGAAACTCGTGGACGGGGTGGGGGGGGGCTCGAACGGCCGGTTCGTTCGCGAGAGCCGTCAACATGGACGGTTCAGGGAAGCGGCCTCGGGCAGGACGCGCTTGGGGCAGACCAATCGAGACTGAACCACTACTGGGCGATCTGTGGGAGTCCTCGAGCGTAAACATTCGGAACGACAGAGCGGCAGCCAGAGGAGGAACGGGGAACGACCGCGTGGAGATGGAGCGATGGAAATCGATGGCCTCCTCACCGTTAATGTCTTGCTGTGAGAGGAGATTCGCCTGCAAAAGAAAAACAAAAAAAAACGCGCACACGTGGAGCGAGCTCGCTGGTGGAAATTCGACATTCCCATGGACGAGTCCACCCAAGTTTTACAACTAATGCTGAATTACCCCATAAAAGTTGACCGCTGCTTGTATCAAGGACGTAGCCATGGAGTCAACATTGGGGGGGCAAATCTTCCATGGGGTCTGGGGCTCCCCCCCCCCCCCCAGAAAAAAAATCTAAATTTGAAAACTAATTTACTGCCTAAAATATAAAAAAAATAACTACCACATGGGATGGACTTTGTATTTATTTTTAACAATAATGTCTAATAGTGTTATTGTATTTATTACATTGCTCTGTTTTTTTATTTTTTACCTTTTCTTGTTTCATTGTACGTAATGGCAGAAATTAGGGATTAATAAAGTACAACCATAACCACAATCAGATAAACAGAAATCTATTTTATAGCAATATTTATTATAATTACGGACTTGGCTTGTATTGACCCTCGAGGTAGGTGGGAATGATCGGCTGATTCAACCCTTCCCCAACGGAAGACGTCACACACGTGTCCACATTCACCCTGACACAGTCTCCCTATTCACCCTGACACAGTCTCCCTATTCACTCTGACACAGTCTCCCTATTCACCCTGACAGAGTCTCCACATTCACCCTGACACAGTCTCCCCATTCACCCTGACACAGTCCACATTCACCCTGACACAGTCTTCATTCACCCTGACACAGTCTCCACATTCACCCTGACACAGTCTCCACATTCACCCTGACACAGTCTCCCTATTCACCCTGACACAGTCTCCCTATTCCACCTGACACAGTCCCCATTCACCCTGACACAGTCCACATTCACCCTGACACAGTCTCCCTATTCACCCTGACAGTCTCCCTATTCACCCTGACACAGTCTCCCTATTCACCCTGACACAATCTCCCTATTCACCCTGACACAGTCTCCACATTCACCCTGACAGTCGCCCTATTCACCCTAACACAGTCTCCCTATTCACCCTGACACAGTCTCCCTATTCACCCTGACACAGTCTCCCCATTCACCCTGACAGTCTCCCCATTCACCCTGACACAGTCTCCCTATGCACCCTGACACAGTCCCCCATTCACCCTGACACAGTCTCCACATTCACCCTGACACAGTCCACTTTCACCCTGACACAGTCTCCCCATTCACCCTGAAACAGTCTCCCTATTCACCCTGACACAGTCCACATTCACCCTGACACAGTCTCCACATTCACCCTGACACAGTCTCCGCATTCACCCTGACACAGTCTCCCTATTCACCCTGACACAGTGTCCACATTCACCCTGACAGTCTCCCTATTCACCCTGACACAGTCTCCCTATTCACCCTGACACAGTCTCCCTATTCATCCTGAAACAATCTCCCTATTCACCCTGACACAGTCTCCCTATTCACCCTGACACAGTCTCCACATTCACCCTGACACAGTCTCCCTATTCACCCTGATACAGTCTCCCTATTCACCGTGACACAGTCCACATTCACCCTGACACAGTCTCCCTATTCACCCTGACACAGTCTCCCTATTCACCCTGACACAGTCTCCCCAATCACCCTGACACAGTCTCCACATTCACCCTGACACAGTCTCCCTATTCACCCTGACACAGTCTCCACATTCACCCTGACACAGTCTCCCTATTCACCCTGACACAGTCTCCCTATTCACCCTGACACAGTCTCCCTATTCACCCTGACACAGTTTCCCTATTCACCCTGACACAGTCTCCACATTCATACTGACACAGTCTCCACATTCACCTTGACACAGTCTCCCAATTCACCCTGACACAGTCTCCCTATTCACCCTGACACAGTCTCCCTATTCACCCTGACACAGTCTCCACATTCACCCTGACACAGTCTCCCTATTCACCCTGACACAGTCTCCCTATTCACCCTGACACAGTCTCCCTATTCACCCTGACACAGTCTCCCTATTCACCCTGACACAGGTCCTCCCTATTCACCCTGACACAGTCTCCCTATTCACCCTGACACAATCTCCCTATTCACCCTGACACGGTCTCCCTATTCACCCTGACACAATCTCCCTATTCACCCTGACACGGTCTCCCTATTCACCCTGACACAGTCTCCGTATTCACCCTGACACAGTCTCCCCATTCACCCTGACACAGTCTCCCCATTCACCCTGACACAGTCTCCCTATGCACCCTGACACAGTCTCCCCATTCACCCTGACACAGTCTCCACATTCACCCTGACACAGTCCACATTCACCCTGACACAGTCCCCATTCACCCTGAACAGTTCCCTATTCACCCTGACACAGTCCACATTCACCTGACACAGTCTCCACATTCACCCTGACACAGTCTCCACATTCACCCTGGACACAGTCTCCTATTCACCCTGACACAGTCCACATTCACCCTGACACAGTCTCCCATTCACCTGACACAGTCTCCACATTCACCCTGACACAGTCTCCCTATTCACCCTGACACAGTCTCCCTATTCACCCTGACACAGTCTCCCTATTCATCCTGACAATCTCCCTATTCACCCTGACACAGTCTCCTATTCACCCTGACACAGTCTCCACATTCACCCTGACACAGTCTCCCTATTCACCCTGACACAGTCTCCCTATTCACCTGACACAGTCCACATTCACCCTGACACATCTCCCTATTCACCTGACACAGTCCACATTCACCCTGACACAGTCACATTCATCCTGACACAGTCTCCCTATTCACCCTGACAGTCTCCCTATTCACCCTGACACAGTCCACATTCACCCTGACACAGTCTCCCTATTCACCCTGACACAGTCTCCCTATTCACCCTGAGACACATTCCCATTCACCCTGACACGTCTCCCTATTCACCCTGACACAGTCTCCATATTCACCCTGACACAGTCTCCACATTCACCTTGACACAGTCTCCCCATTCACCCTGACACAGTCCACATTCACCCTGACACAGTCTATTCACCCTGACACAGTCTCCACATTCACCCTGACACAGTCTCCCTATTCACCCTGACACAGTCTCCCTATCACTACAACACAGTCCCCATTCACCCTGACACAGTCCACATTCACCCTGACACAGTCTCCCTATTCACCCTGACACAGTCTCCACATTCACCCTGACACAGTCTCCCTATTCACCCTGACACAGTCTCCCTATTCACCCTGACACAGTCTCCCTATTCACCCTGACACAGTCTCCCTATTCACCCTGACACAGTCTCCTATTCACCCTGACACAGTCCACATTCACCCTGACACAGTCTCCCTATTCACCCTGATACAGTCTCCCTATTCACCGTGACACAGTCCACATTCACCCTGACACAATCTCCCTATTCACCCTGACACAGTCCACATTCACCCTGACACAGTCACATTCATCCTGACACAGTCTCCCTATTCACCCTGACAGTCTCCCTATTCACCCTGACACAGTCTCCACATTCACCCTGACAGTCTCCCATTCACCTGACACAGTCTCCCTATTCACCCTGACAATCTCCCATTACCCTGACACGGTCTCCCTATTCACCCTGACACAGTCTCCATATTCACCCTGACACAGTCTCCACATTCACCTGACACAGTCTCCCCATTCACCCTGACACAGTCCACATTCACCCTGACACAGTCTCATTCACCCTGACACAGTCTCCACATTCACCTGACACAGTCTCCACATTCACCCTGACACAGTCTCCCTATTCACCCTGACACAGTCTCCCTATTCACCCTAACACAGTCCCCATTCCCTGACACAGTCCACATTCACCCTGACACAGTCTCCCTATTCACCCTGACAGTCTCCCTATTCACCCTGACACAGTCCCTATTCACCCTGACACAATCTCCCTATTCACCCTGACACAGTCTCCACATTCACCCTGACAGTCGCCCTATTCACCCTGACACAGTCTCCCTATTCACCCTGACACAGTCTCCCTATTCACCCTGACCAGTCTCCCATTCACCCTGACAGTCTCCCATTCACCCTGACACAGTCTCCCTATTCACCCTGACACAGTCCCCCATTCACCCTGACACAGTCTCCACATTCACCTGACACAGTCCACTCACCCTGACACAGTCTCCCATTCACCCTGAACAGTCTCCCTATTCACCCTGACACAGTCCACATTCACCCTGACACAGTCTCCACATTCACCCTGACACAGTCTCCGCATTCACCCTGACACAGTCTCCCTATTCACCTGACACAGTGTCCACATTCACCCTGACAGTCTCCCATTCACCCTGACACAGTCTCCCTATTCACCCTGACACAGTCCCTATTCACCCTGACAATCTCCCTATTCACCCTGACACAGTTCCCTATTCACCTGACACAGTCTCCCATTCACCCTGACACAGTCTCCCTATTCACCCTGACACAGTCTCCCTATTCACCGTGACACAGTCCACATTCACCCTGACACAGTCTCCCTATTCACCCTGACACAGTCTCCCTATTCACCCTGACACAGTCTCCCAATTCACCCTGACACAGTCTCCACATTCACCCTGACACAGTCTCCCTATTCACCCTGACACAGTCTCACATTCACCCTGACACAGTCTCCTATTCACCCTGACACAGTCTCCCTATTCACCCTGACACAGTCTCCCTATTCACCCTGACACAGTCTCCCTATTCACCCTGACACAGTCTCCACATTCACCTGACACAGTCTCCACATTCACCTGACACAGTCTCCCATTCAACCTGACACAGTCTCCCTATTCACCCTGACACAGTCTCCCTATTCACCCTGACACAGTCTCCACATTCACCCTGACACAGTCTCCCTATTCACCCTGACACAGTCTCCCTATTCACCCTGACACAGTCTCCCTATTCACCCTGACACAGTCTCCCTATTCACCCTGACACAGTCTCCCTATTCACCCTGACACAATCTCCCTATTCACCCTGACACGGTCTC